CCCCCCCCCCCCCCCCCGGCGAATTGTTTTTGTGCTATTGGTGCTTAGTATACTCTTAGTTTAGTGCATTTCTTAGTTCATATCTTAGATATTATTACTGTTTCTCTTTACAATTTATACTTGTGTTGGATGTAACTGGGACCCTGTGTACACAATTTTTTTCCACCACATGTATCACATGGTGCGAACGACAAATGAAACTTTGACTTGAAATACCTGCATGTGTCAAACTCAAGGGCCTTGTTAACATCTTATCTGGCTCCCCAAGAAAAAAAAATACAAGACTGAGGTTATTATCTTTAAATCCAGTGGTCCTAGCAGTTTCCCCACCTCTGATTTTTCCTTTTTGGCCCCATATGAAAAATCCATTGTTACAAATTTAAGGGTGAAAATGGACCCCTGCCTGAAACTTGACTGCCATGCGCCTGTCAAAAATCAAGTTGATCCAGGCTTTTATTACTTCCCATCTATTGTAATTCTCTTTTGATCGGAGTAAGCCAGACCTCCCTTTCACATTTACAGCTGGTTCAAAATGCTGCTGCACAATTTTTGACTGGTACAGGTAGGCAGGAGCACATAAACTCCAATTTTGACGTCCCTTCATTGGCTTCCTGTTCAGTTTTGAATCTATTTTAAAGTTCTATTGTTTCTTTTTAAGTTTTTGAATGGTTCTAGTCCTTCTTATTTTTCTGAACTTCTTCACCTTTATATGCCATCACGTGCTCGTATATCATCTGACCAGATGCTTTTAGCAGTCCCGAATACCTTTTATACATCCAGAGGAGACGGCGCCTTTTCAGCTCTGGCTTCTAAATTGTGGAATGACCTCGGATCCTGACGTATCCTGCGTGAGTCTCAGCGGTGCATGAGGGCTCTCCAGGACCCTGTCGCTTTGTTGAAAAGAGTTTGTCGATTGCATTGAAAGTCCAGCTCACCAGATCCATGACAGTATATTTAGTTTTGGAAGATGTAAAAAATAGGAGCTCCGATACACAGAGAGCAAAAAAGCAGGAGAACAGGAGAGGGAAGAAAATGCGTCCGCCTTGCACGAGAGCAAGTGAGGAAAAAAGTGTCTGACTTGAGTTAATGTATCTACTAATATTGGCCCGTCTTGGACCAAGTTTTTAATTTTCTCCATTTTGTAACCAAGTTCGGCAGTCCTGCAACACTACTGTGCTTAAAAGGCGTTTCCTAAAGTAATCCCATGTCCATGTTGTTATATTAGACACTGATAATTAAAAACAGATCAAAAGTGCAAAAATATGTGTGTGTTGACTAATGAGGTGTATTTAATGAGACAAAACAATTTATTTATTTATTTATTTATAAACCATGGTTTTAAAATGTGTGTTAACCACATGGTTTCAGCTTTTTCCGATTCAGCATTATTCTTTTTAACCTCCTGAGACCCGAGCTCTGGTTTGCGATGCATTTTTCATATCTCCTAGATATTTGTGATTAGATGGACCTGTTTTGTGTATAAATAAAGCTTCTTCTTCGAACAGGAAGTTGTATTTTGTTACATGGTTATGACACACTTGTAAAAAAAAAAAAAAAGTCCTCAGATGGGGACAATTCGCTTATTTTACAGCATAACACAACAAAATTAGCATGGCTTAACAAAGTATAAAACACTATTGAACAGAGTGAAGTAGAAGGTACAGCATAGTCAAAATGTAATGTCCCCATATGTGGACGCAGGGTCTCAGGAGGTTAATGTAGTATTATTTGAAATAACATTTCTTTAAATAGACTCAAAAGTTTTTTACTGTATTGACCTAAGCCTTCTTATTTTTGCCATGTTTTTGTCATATGTAGCTGGTTTGCAGCAACCTAGATGAACTACGAGAGCTGATCAGTAGGACTGAAGATGAGCTTGATGAACTGGAGAGCATGAAAAAGAAACTGGTAGGTGACAATCAAGCATCTGTTAAGGTGATTTACCCTCATCATGTTCTAGAAAATGCAAAGTTCAACTTCTAAGAAGGCTTTACCTTCTGTGTACATTCTTTCTTTTTTTTTTTTTTTGTATTTGAACACACAGGGTCGGTGGTACTATAAGAAAGAAGCAGTGAAAGAACTCCACAGCACTCTAATCAGACTTCTGAACGAACTTTTACCTTGGGAACCAAAACTTGTTAAGGCCTACCAAAGAAACAGGTTTGAAATTTTAACAGATTGATGACATTGTTATTAGCATCTGAATAAATTATGTACAGAAAAATCATTATTCTTGTGCAACCAGCTTAAATAACTTTTTGTAATGCAATTGTTCATTGCTAAAATGGAAGACATTTTCAATTATTTTGTTTCACCAACACAGGCTTCGTTTAAAGAAGGAGTTTGATGATTTCAAGAAGCATCCAGAGTACAATAACTTTGTGCGTGAGGAGTGTGTTTCATCATCATCATCATCAAATGATGATGATGATGATGATGAAGGGAGGAATTTGGAGGATGATTGTGGAGAATTAGAAGAGGAGGATCAGGAGCATGTTCCTAGAGGCCTTTGGAGTGGAGGTAAAGTAAATAAACTTGAATTACTAATGTTCATATTTTTGTTGCTGTAATAAAAGATTAAAGTTGTTCTTTGCTGGACTTAAATTAGTGAGAATGTTGTAATGCACCAACAACTGGTTAGTGACTGAATTAAAACAGTTACAACTTTATAAATTAAATTAGTAACTAGACTATCACTTGTCGGCTATTATTTGAACTCATAAGAGACAAGATTTGCAATTTGTGCAAACATTTGGTTAATTTTTGTGTGTCAGAAAAGGTCTATGCAGCACAAAGTCACAGCATTAAAAGTTAAGGAGACGTTGACGAGAATAAATTTTACAATAATCATATCTTTATCTTTGCAGTAGAGAGATGTGTCTGTGTTCAACATGTAATTATTTATATTGTCATTTTTTAAATTAATCTATTGAATTGAAAAAAGTATTTTAGCAGGTAATTATGTTTGTTAATTAGAAAATTAATATTTGCTGACCAGCCTTAAAAATATTTGGAGTCGGACTTTTTTTTTTTTAATATTACAATTTTCATCTATGTTTTTTGTTGTCTTTGAAGCTTGGCACTGCCAAAGAAGCCAATGTGGTTGTATTTGTGCAAGCATTTGATGTGTGATAATATTGTACAGAAACCCGGATATCATTTATCGACAAAACACTAATAATCGTTTTTATGTTTTAGCAATCACCAGAGAATTTGGTGCTGAGCCTGCTGCAGAAGAACTCACTCTGGCCAAAGAGAAAGATGTAGGTCTGTTGCCAAGAATTGAAGGTGCTGGCACCAATATTCCTTCTGCACAGTCGAGGGGAGAGTTGCAATATGTGTTGGTCCCAGCAAGTCAATCCAGGGATTCATCATGGGCAACAAACATGCCAGCACATAATACAGTTTCACCCACATATCCCACCCTGATCCCACCCTTTGGACTACCCAAGGGCTACACGCCCATCCCTACCCTGCTGGCTAAGAGTGTGGGAAACAAAGTGACCTTGATGAAAAGACCAACTGATTTCCCAGGTTTGTCCAACGTAGATGGACAGAGAAAAGAGTCTTTGGTTTCGCTGCCTACCTCTGTAATGACAAACCTAAAAGTTTCTAAAGCACAACGTTTTCCATCCAGTCACCAAGATAACTTGCAGAAAATACCAGCACAAACACCCCAGCAGACACAAGTCCATGAGCAGCCAGATATAAAAATGGCAGCTCTTCCTAAAACACCACAGGCTAAATCATGCCAGACTGAGCCAAAAAGTCCTATCCAAGTGGTGTATAAGGCACCCGAGGGACTGAGTCACCTTGTAAGAAAAGACAGTGGCAGCCAAGTCAGGATGTCTGTTCATTCTGTTGTGGACCAGAATGCTGCAACAAAGGTTATGCAACAAGTAGTGTTTCTACCTTCTAACCTTCTCATTCAAAAGACTGAAACAAAGACGGCCAATGTAAATCCAAAACAGAACAAGAGCATCCAGGTTCCAGTTTCTAAGGTGGCCAGCCCTGTATGTATATCAACCGATGTCTCTGGATTTAGCATTCCTGAAAGTAAAATCCCTGTTCAACAGTTGGACCTGATAAAAGATGCCAAAACTGGGAAAAATCCCATTTTCTCTTTCACCCCTCATTTGCAAAGAGAGCCTCTAAACACGTCAGGATGTAAGGAGTCGCAAACTTGCATTGCTGAAACCAACGCATCAAAAGGTAGCATGACGACTTCTTCAACCATCACAACTCATTCCAGAGCTGTTTTTACTGACAGTGTTACATTTACAGAACCTAAACAGGAGCTTAAGACTGTGTGTATCCGTGACTCCCAGTCTATCTTGGTAACAACTAGAGGGGGAAACACAGGCATCGTCAAAGTCCAGACATCCTCAGACCAGAATTTACTTGGGTCTTTTCCTACCAGTCCAGTTATTACTATTTCTCCTCAGTTAAAAGCCTTCCTTGTATCTAAGACAGCCACTTTGTCTGCTTACGCCCCCTCTCAGACATCACCTACTGTCCCAACAGAGACAATCATCTCAATGGCCCAAACCCAAAAGCAGGCTTCCAAATTTACTCATTCTATGCTCACAACAGGAACGAGTAGCATTCCTTTAAATGGCCCAGAACACCAAGCAGGCACTGCTATTGCTTTGAGTCAAGGCTCTACCTTTTCAACTGCTGAAACAAATCTGTCTCAAGTGGTGCACACAGCTTCTTCTGGCTCTACTTTTCCAGTTTCAACATTAAAAAATGTTGTTGCTGTTCCATCACTAAGTAGCTCTGGTATTTCTCCAGTTCTCACACAAGAGTTTTTAAGCAAGACTGGTGTGAAACGTGCCAGTACAGATGGGAGATCCCATGTTACTAAATACATTTTAGTTGCTCCATCATCCTCCTCAACCTCAAGCAAAGCAACACCAAAAAGCACACCCTCTTTCTCAAAGTCAGTTACCAGTTCAAGAGTGATGCTCACAGGCCAACCCATTGTGACCTCATCTACCACCTTCATGGGACACTTACCAAAGCCAACGATGACAACTGGGAGTGGACAGACATTGAACTCTTCAATAACTGGCCAAACTCCAAAGATGGGATCAAGTTCAGCTCAGCCTGTTTGCAGTGTCACCTCAGATGCATTGTCCAAGACCACCAACAACACTCTGCCCTCAGGTAGGTTTTGTGTATAAGCTTTGTATGGGAATGGATTATTTTTGTCCTTGTTCAAATCAGATTAAACAACAATGGGCATCATGTAGTCTGACCTCACTCAATATTTTACAAACAAAACTGGACTCCTGTTTTTCAGTTGAAAACGCTTCACTTACAGTGAAGTAAAACATCTTCAACTACAAAGTAAAAGTCCAGTTGTCTTTAGTTTATTTTATTTTTTCATGTCCTGGATGACTGAGAATGTACACCAGAATGTAGCTGAAAGAATGAGAAGCTGTGTTTTTTTTTAATGTCATTGTACTGAACTGTGTTTACAATTACCTATCCTCATGACTATCCTAATAACTCAATCAGAATCAGTATTGCATGAAATACAGACAATTTTAAGGTTATTAATTAAAATGTATTTTGTTACCAGGTATTGGAATCCAGTTGACAGGAAAGACTACATCTATCGGGCAGACAATTGGTGCACTGTCACATTCTCCTTCATTGACCATGCCAGTGTCCATAAAAGGAACCAGCTATTCAACAGCTGCCACCACCACTGGGCTGGTCCCATACACAACTGTAATAACTGCCACAAGCTGTTCAACCCAGCTTGATTCTCACAGCTCTCTTACCACCAGCTCTCCACTCCATGGTACACCCTTGGTTTCTGTTATCTCTCAGACAAGCTGTTCTAAGTCTACTGCTCTCACATCACTTACAGGAAATAAGAACAAGAAGGACTTTGGTATACTTGCAGGTACCTCGTCCAACAGCTTTCCTGCTGAAGTAGCCATTGCTACTGTGGGTAGCTCAGCCCAAATGCAAATTCCTGTTCCTAACACAAAGTCCCTATATTTTAAAAGCAGTGTTCATGAGGAGAATACTTCTTTATTATCTTCTCAACTTGCCAGTAATAAAACTCAAACCACCTTCTCTACACCATCCAACTACGCTCCAGTCACCACCTCCACTGCTGGCACAGTTCAGCAGAGGATAATCCTCAACACCTCTACGCAACTTACTGCTGGCACACAGATCTTCCTGAACAATTCACGCTTTGTAGTCCCTCCCCAGGGTTTGGGTCCAGGCAGTCATGTCCTTTTCATCTCTAACCCTGCACCACAAGTGCCTACCACCACTCCTGTTAGCACTAGATCACCATTAGCTCCCAAAGATGCAAGTCCTGTCAATGTTATACCTCGAGCATCAGTTTTATCCCAGTCTACAGCTAGGCTGCCTAGTGTGCCAGCTGTAAGTTCTCCTTTTGTAGCATGTGCACCTGCTGTTTGTCCATCTTTGATGGGAAGCACTTCACATGCCATGCCATTCAGACTTACAGGAACACCTGGCTTAGGCTCAACACTGATACCCAGCAAAACAAATGTATCAGCTCTTCCTAGGTTTCCATTTGGTCATACAGGTAACTTTGGATTATCTCCTGTTTGTACACCCACTTTGGTCTCTTCCTCACCAAGGTTGGACAGTGTACCATCCATAGTTTCCCCAGTAAAAACTAGTGCCCCTGCTTTTGTTTCAGCACCAGCTACAATCAGGATAGGTGCTGGTACTGTTACACAAGCTAAATCTGCATCCACCTTATCATCTGCAACATCAACTGCCTTGCCCAAATTGTCAGGATCTTTATCATCTTTACCTGTATTACCCAGCTTGTCAACAGGTGCCTTGTGTAGCCCTGTCATACCAGTTTCTGTACCCCACTCTTCAGCTGCAGCTTCAAAAGTAACAGACACACCAGCTTTGCATAATTATCTTCCCGGCCAGCAGATGCTTGCAGTGACTACTACTGAATCTTCAATACAGCCAAAGCAGACAAAAGTTAAAGTCGCCAAACTCTCAACTGTTTATCCACAGGGTTCAGAGCAAACTGGACTGGAAAACACTTCACACAAAGAGCAAATGCCAGTTATGCAAGCAGTGCTTTCTGGTACAAGGACACAGGTACTGCCAACAATGGCTGTACCACCAATCACAAGTGCAGCATCCAGGATGCAAGCACTATCCAATGCTACTGTTCCACATGTTGGAAGCACTGTCGGCACCTTTGAAGTGGCACCTGCAATACCAAGTTCAGCTCAAGCAATTGCATCTGAAACTCAAAAAAACATCATCAACCCACCTGTCATACTGACTAATACAGTGCTTAGAAATGACTTTGTGCAGACCTCAGCCTTGGATATGGATGCCAGTGTACTATCCAAGCTGCTCATTAGTCCTGATGGTGCTGTTTTGAACACTGATCAGTGCCAGGTTAATTCAGCAGAGCTGACTGACTGCCCCAGTCCTCTTAATGCACTGGTGGTTTCCTCCAATGGTTCGAGTGGAGCCCTACAAACACACGATTCCACTTTACACTCTCCTTAAGTAGACGGACCCACCAGAACAGCACTGATCCCCGCTATGAAAGTCCAGATACAGTTTTCCACTTGCCTAATTTTGACAGGACTCATATTGCATCCAGTAATTGCTATACATGTATTTTGATTCTTTTACATTTTGGACAGATTTTAACCTCTGGTTTAGATTATCTTTTCATATGAACTTGTGTTAACCACACATACTGAAACTGCATACTGTGATGGGTTTCTCATATAAAAACTGAGATTATCCTGGTATTAATGTTGTGATCTTTTAGACATTGGTGGCCAGTAAATTACAACAAATCACTAAAGTGAAATAAATTTCATGATGAGCATTTTTCTGTTTTTAATGTAAATACAGCTTTAAGACCTGTTTCTTGGTTTGATTCATTCATTCATTCGTACAGTTGATCTGTCATCGGCTCATCAATGTCCAATATTTTCAAATAGTAGTTTGAAAACTACAGTTTAATTTTTCTAGAAAAAAATCTTATAGGGGAATTTTTACTACATGTTTGAATCCATGTAAATGTTTTAGAGTCACATTTATTTATTTTTACCATATAGATTTTTCAAAATATATTTACTAGGTACATTTTCATTTAACATCTGTGGACATTTCTGCATGGAAATAAACAATGCAACTGTCCAGAACAAGTGTGCTTGAGGTTTTTTTGTTTTGTTTGGGTTATTTTTTTCACAGAATTGTGATTTTTTTTTCATTTTTCCCTGTTATTTAGGAAGCTTATTGTTTTTCAGTGTATAAATTGTTTATTCATGTGTAAAGTGGTTTTTACAAAGTAAGTGGTACAATATTTGTTGCTCATATCTTTGTATTTAGCTATAATGCATTATGTTGACAGTAGCATGCACTTTCATTAGACAACAGTTTACATTCTGAGGATGGCCTTTCCCCATGTTTCTGTAGATATCTTGAGCTTTCCTCCTTTAGGGTGAGTAGGGAGGTGGCAGTTGTTCTGAAGGCATCTTTTCATAGGCTGGAGGAGCATTAGGAATCTGGAGAAGAGCACATCAAGAACATATAAAATCAATGAGTTGTTGCTGAAAGTCAATTTTTACAATGTAGTGAAAAGTTTTTAGTTAAATCCAATGCAAAATATTCAAGTTACACATATTGCTCAGGATCACAAACAAAAGTGAGTTTATTTAGCTTTTTTTTTTTTTTAAATCTTATATGAATGTGCTTATACAAAACTTGGGAACGAGATGTTTTTAATTGCTTTGCCTAATTTGGTGACAAAGTAATCTCCCTCATGCATCTATTGCATTGCATTGGCTTGACGTGCCCTTAAGCACTCAGAACTCTGCCATTTATTCTGAACAAGTGCTCTCTGTATTGAACATCAGTAAATGGCTGACTGGTGTACACGAACATCTAAACTGAACTAAGAAGTACCACCTTGTAGAGATAGTGTTTAACAGTTTTATAGTTTTCCTTCTAGTAAAGATTCAAGAGGGTGGCCAGTTTAGACACAAGGTCAACTGTTCATCCCTCACCACAGATCGGATGCTGCCAAAGTCCGTGAGAGGCATTTTGTTCCCTGCTGAAGCTCCGTCCTCAGAGTACTGGCCTCCTGTATACCCTGGTGATCCAGATCTGGAGCTCTGCTAAAAAATATTAAAAATATGCACCAAATAGAATTAGATAAACACAAAAATCATATCTAATAAACTGATTAATGAGTGATTAAATTGACTGTCACACCCTGATTATTCTGTAGCCGCTCCTCTTCTTGAAGTACCAGCAGCCCAGGATGAAGAGGCCTGCAAGGATGACCACCAGGAGAGCTATGCCCACCGCCCTGTGATACAGAACACACTAGTTAGGCCTTTACTGTATCTCTAAGATATTGTGCTTATTGTTTTCTCCACAAATAAACTGGAGCTTCATAAAATGAAAATAAAGGTCTGAGCTACATTCAGAACTCTGAAGCCTTTAGAAGACAAGATATTTATTTATCCCAGGTTTTAAAGAATACTGCTTACTCCTCAACTCTGACATTTCCTCTTCGGCCGCTGGCAAAATAGATGTTGAAGTCTCCTCGAGGCATCCCACTGGTACGATTGCACAACATCAAGCTGAAAGTCAGCAGAAAACCACTTCAGTAATCAACTAGACATAATGGGTATCATACATTCTTAAATGAAACTAATATGTTTGATTATTATTTAATGAACTCATTAATGCAGACTGTAAATCAAACATTGTGGAGGTAATCACTTTCAGGCTGGAAGGTCCACACACAGCACACATATTAAATTGTAATAAGAGTCGGCCTGAAAATTTGCATATGTATTTGGTAATATGTGCACCCTTGACCCTAAGTTAGTTTTTCTAGTAGAGATGTCATGCATTTGGTTGCTTTCCTCTTTAGCAACTAATGAACATCCGTCAGAAAATTAATAGGAAAAAATGGCTAAAGTAAAACTCAGTCGTGAAAAGTGATTTTGATGATGAAGCACAAAAACCTGTTGCAAGAGAAATAAGCCTTCCTCAAATGTTGTAATTTTCTGGTTAAGTGTTAAAATATATTTCAGTAATCTTTACATCACTGATTGTCTACCACCTTTTCCTGAAGATAAAACAAAGAAGAAAAAAACAGTTTTCTTACCAAATTTGATTTGGGATGGCAGAAAGAAAGCTTCCTCTGGTTTCACAGTCTCTTCAGACCTGGGTCCACAAAGCTCTGAGTTATTTCACTCATATGTTTTGCCTCAATGTGTGGCAAGCAGAGAGGGGCAAATAACCCCTCATGATCGTCACGGGTTTGAGACTCATGGTTAAATCCATTGAAGCGAGGTAATTACCGTGAAACCCAGGAGCTTTAAACACAACCTTTCTGTCCACTCGTGAAACTCCAAAAATGTCAGCTGCTGGCTTTTCATGTAAAGGATGTAGTGTGTGTGTGCATTTTTAGCTCTTTAATTCCTGGAAATGCATTTAATTTGTAGTGACCAGCAAAACTCTGCAAAATGTACATTTTTATCAGAGACCCAGACTCAATGATAGTTCTTAAACTTGTTTCTTATGGTTGCTTTAGTTTAGAATTCAAGAGACATTTAAAGTTGGGTGGGAAAGAATTGTTAAGTTGAAAGTACTGAAATAATTATGAGTTCTGAAAATAATTCAGTTCTAGAGTGGCTGCATCTAGCATCTACATGTAGCTCTGTTACTTTCATTCTGAGTTATTGCTTTTGAAAACTTTAATTCCTCTTTTTTTCTGGATGTAAACACTTTTTTCGGATGATTATTTACTCTGTTATTGGATGCTGTGCAGCTGGAAGGATTTTCACTGAAACCTTTTTACTTTTGGGCTTTTGTTATGGTGCGTAAACATGGCAACAATGTATCCTGATGCATGCTCAATAATCCAGGTTAAAAAAAAAATCTAAAAAAGTTAAATCTGGTCCTCTGGACATTCAAAAAACAAAGCAAAACAACAACAAAAAAAAAATGTAGAAACGTTTCATCTTTCATCCGAAAGACTTCCTCAGTCTGAGGTGCTGTATTCAGCTCAGTCTTATAAATAGCACCTTTTCAGAGTGGATCAACCAGTTTGCTGCTGACAACCAAAACCAGCTGCTCACATGATCAAGAAGGACCATCAGCCTAACAATGGATCATTAGCACACTGATGGATGTTTAATATTCACAGGGGGTTGAGTGATACTAGCAATCACAGCATTGTAAGAGGGGGACAGTTGAACACGGAAGCCTCCAACCCTGTTTAATGATGAACGATTTCTTTTCACAAAGATGGCCTCCTTTACTCCTCTCTCAAACCATCGTTCCTCTCTATCCAGGATGTGAACATCTTCATCCCCGAACGAGTGACTGCTGGCCTGGAGATGAGTGTAGACCGCAGAGTCCTGACCTGATTGTGTTGCTCTTGGGTTCTGGGCCATCCTTTTGGCCAGTAGCTGTTTAGTTTCCCGGATGTAAACATGGATGGACTCCTCAGACTGAGGAAGTCTTTCAGATGAAAGACGAAACATTTCTACATTTCTTTGTTGTTGTTTTGCTTTGTTTTGTTTTTTGAATGTCCAGAGGACCAGATTTAACTTTTTTAGATGGCAACAGTTTTTTAACAACCAGGAGCAGCTGATTAACACCTCAAAAGCTTAAATACCTCAGCTACAGTCCCAAATCCCAAATGAGTTGAAAAGGGGGCGCCGTGGATGAATTCCCGTCAACCTGACAGCGGTGCTTCAGTACCTGACCACTGAGATCACGGAGCTGGTGGAAAACTCGGCTCGTGGCAACGGGAGGACCGGGGTCATCCCCCGGCACCTTCAACTGTTTGTCCGTGGCGACGAGGAGCTTTCGGGCAGTCCTGCTGCCCAGGAGGATCGAGATGCCCACTGAATCTGACAGCAAGCTGGATCCAGGTGGACGGATCGGTATATGTGGCCAGATTCTTCGGATTCACTGCAGGAGATCTTTCCTGCCCACAGCTATCAGCATCTATAACAACTCTTGAATGAAACCAGGATGATGAGCTATGACAACACTTGATTTCCCTTTGGGATTAACAAAGTATTTTTGAATTAAATTGAATTGAAAAAGGTACTGTTTCTTTAAAGACAACTAAGTTTCTTCATGGATTACTTATCTGATATTTGCTACATTAATAAACTAAATCTGAGTAAAACAAACCACAAAAATGAAACTTGGAGTCATATACATTAATGAAAATGATATTTGACTTTTATGCTTAGAAACAATAAGGTAAGGCAATAAGATATTCCAGAAATCTTAACCGAGTTTTATGAGTGTGAACGAGACACACACTTTTCAAACCCTGCAACGTAAATTGGTCAGTGTTTAATCTTACAGTCTTAATTACTTACCCTTAATTTATACATAGGCAGGCAGACACAGACAGACAGACAGATAGATAAAATCTCCACAAGAGGGAGACAAGTAACTACTTTTTCAACAGAGTACAGTACTGTATTGCCATGTCTCAACCTGAAGGGGCGTGCTGTGTCAGATCATGAGTTGTTTTATGTGTTTGAAATAGTAACAAGCCTACAGTTAAATAACAATTTAACAAATGTGAATGTCTCATCATTATTTGTTTTTATGTTATTCAAATTCAAGTTACACTGTAAAAACAATATGGGTTAAATGTGCAGAGTATCTGTTTCAATCAAAGGATGTTTAAGTTCAAATAAAAATAAGAGCTAGAAATTGCCACGTTTTTTATTTAGCAGAACATTCCTTAAGGGGTTGGAATTTAAGACAGCTGACTATTTCAACAAATACTTATTTTAAAATTAGTTTGTGTAACCGTCTTTGCCAAAACATGAGTGCCCATTTGGACAGGGATCTCCAAAATGTGGTTTTTACTATGCTTTGAACCAAACTAGGGTTGTTACTCAGCATACTTTGAGTCCTAGTTGTATAAGTTACATCTAATAAAAAGATTTAATGCAATATACTGTATATGTAAATACCCTTAAATGCAATTTAAGACTGTACATTTTGTTTTGCCATACACTTAAATGAACAAAGTTAGTGTCAGTGTTGAAATTTTTTTTTGCACTATAAGAACACAATGGAAAGTCATGAAAACAAGTAAAAAAATTCAGTTTAAAACTACAAACATGTGTCTTTTAAATTAAAAAATATACGCATAATTTGTGACCAGATGCCAATGGAAACAGCTGAAGTGGCCAAATATAGGTGAGCAAATGTATCATGGGAACAAGAAGTCAGCCAAAGCTAAACTTTCCAAACTAAAACTGTGCGAATGAATGTCTTTCTTTACAACGCTCACTGCCGTGCTTGATCCTAGTTGTCTCGCACGTTCTTTCTTTTTTCCTACGGTGTTTTGCCGCAGATTCATGTCCATATCTCCACCTAAAACGCCTTGTCTAAATTCTACACCTGTATGATTCCGCCATATTTGTTTACCCAAGGCCAGACATCACGTGATTCGGCAGAGGGCTTTGTTTACGTTAAATGCGTACCCACAATTCAGAATTGCATATCGCTGGAAAACCACTAAAACTCGTTCAAACTGCACTATTTGATGTGGCGTTTTTATTTCATTAGTTTGCAACGAGTATCTTTAACTGACCTCACCACTGAAGGAGAATAGAGATGGTCTCTGGCTTTTTTTTTTTTTTTTTAAACAAACTAAGGTGGTGATGGTGTCCCTTAATGTGTGATGAAATCGGTAAATAATGTCAGAGAGGTTGGTCTTCGTTTTCCCAGCAGGTAAGAAGGCGACGCCAGTCTCGGTGACTGACGGAGGAGCTGTTCGAGCGGCAGGACGGAGAGGGAGCTAGAGACTCCTCTGGCTCTCCAGCTGCCATCCTACTCCTGCTGCTCCTCCTCCTCCTCCTTCACCAGAACCACTTCTATTTCTCATCACATCCAGAGGTAAATAAGCTTCATTCAACAGTAAGACGCTATTTTTCAAGCGTACCGCTCACCCTCCCGTGTGTTTCCGCGTCGTCGGGACGCGGCGGTCACCAGTTAACGGAGCTGATCGAGGGGGTGATTCTGAGATTTGTGGTGATGGGGGTGCTTCGCTTTTGTACCCCTGCCTCCTCGTCGGCGTCGGGTCGGGGTTACGCTTCCTTTAGGCAAGTCCGTGGTTCACTTTGTGAGCTAGGGATGCGTTTGTGAGGGCCGTGGGAAGCGTGAGAGGAAAGCCGTAACCCGTTTCCGACCTATAAGATAGCAAGAGCGAAGAATAGCTAGAAAGCCGCGGCTAACTGGCTTTGATGCACGCTCGCGCACAAATAAAGCTACCCCTAGCCAGCTAGCATACATTAGCTACATCTCCAGTAGTCGCTAGCAGCACCGGCCAGCATCGAGCTGATTCTGCTCACTTCTCTGCACGTCGCCACGCTCTTACTTCTCGTAAAATGCGTGTAAAACTGAAAAGAAATGTAACAACAGAGCTATAACAGAGTCGCGGTTCTTGTCGAGGTGAGCTAAATGACGCTATAGGTACGGACAGTTCTGGGACTCTTAACTGACACGACAACAAAAGAAGAAAATGAGGCATAAACTAGCTAGCAAACTAGGCGCTTAAAACCCTGTTTGTTGACGTTGTTTGTTGGGTTTCAGCTGCTGAAATGAAAGTTAAAACTCGGGACAAGCAAACGTTTGAGGTAGCGCTGTATACGCAAACAGAACTGTCTTAACTTTTTTTCTCCTCCTGGTCATTAATTATGCCTAGTTAGTCACCATCCGTATTGTTTTCAACTCGAGACACGCAACATTTATTTGGACAACAATCCCAGTTGTTTGTTCATTGTTATGCATTTAAACAAGTGGATTATAACCCCAGGACGAATTGAATTTTATGGGGAAAATTATACTCTGGAGGCGTGTATTTTATAGACGAATAGTTCGTCTAAGGTGCTTATTTTCACAGAAATCATTTATCAATAACTGACAAAAGATGTTTAGACTTGCTAAAAATGTCTGATACAGTTATTATGACACTAATACTGATACACTGTAATAATGTCCACCCAGGAGCTGGCGCAGTTGTGAATCCTCATTTCTAAGCGAGTTATGAATGCATAATATTTAGCCATCTTAAAAAGATTTTGCATTCTTTTGGCTTCTGACCCTTTTTGATGTTGAACATTCATTTGCCACCTCTCTGTCTTTGCAGCACATTGGAGATGTGACGATTAGAGAGAGACTGGTGACATTTAGCTGCCTGTGCATTGACACGACCTCTTGACCTCATCTTCAGCATGAATGGTGATATGCCTCATGTTCCCATCACTACTCTTGCTGGAATTGCTAGCCTAACCGACTGTAAGTGCAACATCATTCCTTCGAAACTGTTCACGCAGCCTAAACACCTAACATTTAGCCCAAGATATGGCAAGACTGAGGTTCTCTTAAATGGCAAGTAGGCTAAAACTGACAGACATGCATTTGTTAAAGTAGCAGCGTTATGCTGTTGAAAACAGGTAGCGATATGCCAAGTGAACCAGGGTCAGAGGTGACAACAAACAACAAAATTATTAGATTGATAAAATGATAGCATGTTTGTTTCATTAATATAAGGTTACATTTGCCACATGTTTAGAGCTGGTCTACATGTACACTTTGATGAAAATGTTGTAAACATTCTAAATAAAATGATTTAAAAACATAAATTCACATTAAAATAGTTCATACAGCCGCTAATATTTAGTACACAAGATGTACCTTGTTAAAACAACTTATTTATGCAACATCTTCACAAAAGGAACTAATTACTTGTATACAGAAAAGTTGTCTTAATTCATAAAAATAAACTGTTTTATTTGATTTCTCTTTCAACTTTTTTTTAGTACTAAACCAGCTGCCTTTGCCTTCTCCTCTTCCGGCCACCACTGCTAAGAGTCTGCTCTACAATGGAAGGATCTCAGATGAGGTCAGCAGCCTGTTGGTGTGTCGAGACGAGAATCTGGTGACTCAGTTGGCACATAGCCTTAACCAGGTCTCCACTGAACACATGTAAGCAAGACTCATTGTTTGCGCTCATATGCAATATCAGTGTAATGATATTTGTAAAGTGTAACTGTTTTTTTTTTTTTACGGCAAGAAGTAATTTTTGCCACATTTCAGCGACTGCATTACCAAATATTGGCTCATGCTGTGATATACCAATCAGACTAACAGAGGACAGTTTTGTTTGTTTTTTTCAGAGAGCTAAAGGACAACCTGGGAAATGATGAACCTGAGGGTGATATGCCAGTACTCCTTCAAACGCTACTGTCCATGAACCCCAGAATCTTCAGGGACAAAAGTATGCTAACCCACTATGAGGTTTTGGGTGGTAAGGAGGGGGACTCGGAAGATACTGCTTGTTTACTGGAGATGTATATTTTCCTCAACTGTTTTATGGAGCGATGCAAAATGAACATACATTTGTTGTCTGTCTAGCTAAGAAACTAGAAAGAAGCTCCACTCATAGGATTTTTAAAATAAACTATAAACACGGTCTAACAAGGTTAAATCAGGTCCTCTGGACAAATTCTTCTTTATTAAAACGTTTCATTTTTTTATCCAAAATACTTTTTCAGTCTAAGGCACTGCAACAAACTCAGTCTTATAAATAGCACCTTCTCACAGTGGACCAACCAGTTTGCTGCTGAAAGCCAGAACTAGCTAGTCACGTGTAAAAGGAGGACCATCAGCCTAACAGTTGATCGTTAGAGAGCCCTAACAATTGGTCGTTAGAGAGCTCTAACAATTGGTCGTTAGAGAGCTCTAACAATTGGTCGTTAGTGCCCTGATGGCCACTTATTATTCACAGGTGTTATTTATAAGACTGAGTTTGTTGAAGCGCCTTATGTAGACTGAACAAGTCTTTTGGATAAAAAACAAAACGTTACAACAAAGAATTAGTCCAGAGGACCTGATTTAACCTTTTTAGATTTTTCTACCTGGATTATTGAGCATGTATCAGGACATATAAACACCGTCCTCTTGAGTATTTCAAATGACTAAACTACCACTAATCATTTTGATCAGTTATTCAGAAGTAGTTAGGTTTAGTAGAAGTTTTACAAGTTTGTGCATAATTATATCTCCAAACAAAACTAAATCTGTTGGTGCTGCAAGATTGTGCAGCCTGCTAGCAAAAAAATGCAATCTTCAAATAAATTAGGTTTTTTTTTTCCTGTAAAGTATTGTAAGTGGCTTGGCATGCAAACTATAACCCCGCCCCTTAGTTTTTTGCTTCACAAAAATGGTTCACTTATTAAAATGTATTTTACCATGGCAACTTGTGCACAAGATCTAACCTACTTGAAGGCAGGTCATGTTAAAAATAAGGAAACGCTATTAATGGCCAATCAGTTCAAAATCAAAATGTGAGAAAATTTTGCTGTTTAAAGATTTTGAGGGTCTTCTATTCATCAACTCTTAAGAGAGAAAACCAAAATATTTTGACTTGCAATGATGAAGACTTACACCAGCAACTGAGGGAAATTGTTATCTAAAGCAGGAACTGATTTATCTGAAGTTTGTTCTTATTAAAACTATTTATAATAAACTATTGAACAATGAAATATTCTCTTGCCATACTCTGTCCAACCTTGATGAAGAAAATGAACTGTGACCATTTGGGTTTTAACCCATTGACTACATTGAATTCTTTGTAAGATACAAGTTTGTTCCTGACAATCACAGTTTCATGTGTAATATTAAGACTAAATGTGCTTTTTGTCTCTAGAACACTCCATGAACTCAATACATTATATTCCTAATTGCACAAAAGTAGCATTTCCCTAAAGAAGTGCACGTGGTTTGCTGCCTTTAATGCCAAAGTTTTAAACAAAGATGCCATGATCTGTTAGTGCTTGGATTATGTGTTGGGGATGACTCAACTGCTACCACACAAAATTTTATCTCAATGACTCTACAAATGACAGACTTACAGCTATGTTCGTGTTTGCACATGTTGATTAGCTGTTGCGACTATCTTGAATAGGCTCGACTCCAAAAGTTAATCACTTATTGATGTTCATTCCATGATTACTGTTTGAGAGTTTTATTGAAATACATTCAGTGGCCCTTAAGATATTTTTGCAAATAGACATATTAATAAATACACACATTCACACTTTCTGGCAGTGGGTGATAAATATAGCCAGATTTACATTTACAGTATTTGGTTAATGAGACAGTAATAGTGTTTAGCCAATGTTGCCAGGATGTTAATGTTTTTATTTCGGCTGCTCCCTTCTGCAGAAGTTGCCACAGCAAGCAAACTTGCACAAACGTTTTGACAATTATTTTATCCCCGATGCCCTTCCTGACAACCTGTGCTCCAACCTGCAGCCTGCAGACTACAGCACTTATAAGCTACTCCCAGTGTTGCCGTGATATGGAGACAGAAAACTTGCACTGATGTATTAAGAGTTGAAAACTGTCCCAATGCTGTCAATCTTGATTGTTAGAGGAAATGTGGGAAAAGATGCGTACACTGACATAATATTGGACTATTTAGTTTAGGTTGGCATAGTCGAAACCTGCTTGAACACAACACTTTAGATCCACATATTTACAGGTAAAATATTCTTTGTGGTAATAATAGTTGAATGGTATTTATTGAAATCAATGTTGTTTTTAAGATTTTAAGTCAGTGCTACAGAGTATTAATTACTTTAAAGCTTTCAGGACTTCAATCTGCTTGTGTAATGTTCTGGATCAAATAATCATACTTTATTTATATTGATATCCGCTGAATATTGATTGATCTGAAGATGCACAGCACCATATTGTTGTTTTTGCTAAGACCCTTGCTGTCAAACTTCTGTTTGCGTGATATCTCTGTAACAAACATTGTACAGGAATTGTTATATGTCGCTATAAAAGAAACAACCTGAATGCAAGACTAATTTCCATAAACGAGTTACATTTGTCCTTTAACATAAGTCCAGCGACACATTGCAGTTCAATTATCCATTACAGTAGCTTGAAATCACAGTAATTATAATGGTACAATAAACAAGCTGTAAAGTGCAATTATTTGTAGTTTTCATTATCATTATTTATGCAAAAAGGCAAAAGAGATCAAAAGCTTTAAACACATATTGTAGAACCCCCATTCACAAGTTAAAAAAATTAAACCACATTGTTTGGGGTTGTGAACACACACTCCGTCCAAAATGGAGGATCTTTTATTACAATCACACCAGCCTTATGAAGCCTTGTGTAAATCATTATTTAACTCACTGTAGCAGTTGGACCTTATTTAAAAGACTATTAAGTTGGCTTTGATGGATTTTTTTATTATAAGTTTTGAATATTTAACATTGACTCTAGTCTTTGTAGTTTTGTTCAGTAAAGCTAATTAACAAATTAAATATGTTTTTTTTTGTTGGGGAATTTAATATCTTTCGTTTATATAAGCTTATAATATATTTTATAAAATATGTTGTCTTTTAGGACAGCAGCCACTGATACAACAGTATAAGGTTTCTCAGAATCATGGCAGTCCAGCATCAAACTATCAGCAAACCTCTGTCTCTCAAAGCCCCTCTGGGTAAGTCTATGACACGTTATTGTCAGATTATGAAAATGTAGAATTACCTGTACTTATCACTTCTTCCTCTTCCGCAGATGCTTTACATCCCCACAGTGTGGGACAGCTACCCAGTTTGTACCTCAGCAGAACAGTCCAATACCAAGTCCTTATACCCCTCAGAGCCCAGTAGACTACATCCAGTACAATCCACCCAGTTACTCTCATCATCAGCAAGCCCAGCAGGGTGAGCATAAAGTTTAGTCAAAAGAAAAAAAGTGTAATTTATCCCATTTTGATTAAAAAAAAAAAGTCATTGCTTTTTTATGTTTCTGATAAAGTCCTGTGAATATAAACAAGTGAAGAAGCCACAAATAAATTCAGGAATTTCACTTATACATGAACTTGCAATGTACCACCTTCCTAAAGAGTGATGCTGAAGCACTTTAGATCAGAGCTGCTGTGAAATAGTTAAAAGAAAAACATATATACATCTATAGTTTCTCAGAGTTGCTGCTTTGTTTCTGTTATCTCTAACTTATTTCTTCTTTTGTTTTCTGAACTCCTTGACTACTGTAGTTTGAGTTGAAAATATTAATTATCAGTCAGTCTCAGGAATGACTGATTTTCAGTTAACAAAATACATCTAAGATGAACTGTGAGGTGTATAAGACAGCAGTAATTTCATTAAGTAATTGACCAACCAGAACTTTTAAGTGCTAGAAGTCACTCTGAAAGTATAAGAAATTCTCAAAATTATTTTGCCTCATGATGCAAAAACTGTATTTGCCGACATATAAGTTGCACCTTTTGGCATAAATTTGCAAGTCCTGCAACTTATACACCAAAGCAACCAATATATGTTTGTCCCCATATTATAACCCAATTTTTGGCTGAGATCTGATGATTTCATTCATTCTGACATGGAAAATATTAAACATTACCATTTTCAGCCACTAGAGGACCCTCAACTACAAACCGGATTCCAAAAAAGTTGGGACGCTAAACAAATTGTGAATAAAAACTGAATGCAATGATGTGGAGGTGCCAACATCTAATATTTTATTCAGAATAGAACACAAATCACAGATCAAAAGTTTAAACTGAGAGAATGTATCATTTAAAGAGGAAAATCTGTTGTTTCCAACTTTCATGGCATCAACAAATCCCAAAAAAGTTGGGACAAGTCCATTTTTACCACTGTGTGGCATCCCCCCTTCTTCTTACAACACTCAACAGACGTCTGGGGACAGAGGAGACCAGTTTCTCAAGTTTAGAAATAGGAATGCTCTCACATTCATGTCTAATACAGGCCTCTAACTGTTCAATTGTCTTGGGCCTTCTTTGTCGCACCTTCCTCTTTATGATGCGCCAAATGTTCTCTATAGGTGAAAGATCTGGACTGCAGGCTGGACATTTCAGTACCTGGATCCTTCTCCTACGTAGCCATGATTTTGTGATTGCTGCAGTGGTCTGGCATTATCGTGTTGAAAAATGCAGGGTCTTCCCTGAAAGAGAGGACGTCTAGATAGGAGCATATGTTGTTCTAGAACCTGAACATAGTTCTCTGCATTAATGGTGCCTTTCCAGACATGCAAGCTGCCCATGCCACAAGCGCTCATGCAACCCCATACCATCAGTGATGCAGGCTTCTGAACGGAGCGTTGATAACAACTTGGGCTATCCTTGTCCTCTCTGGTACGGATGACATGGCGTCCCAGTGTTCCATAAAGAACTTCAAATCGTGACTCATCTGACCACAGAACAGTCTTCCATTTTGCCACACTCCATTTTAAATGACCCCTGGCCCAGTGCAAACGTCTGAGCTTGTGGAGCTTGCTTAGAAATGGCTTCCTCTTTGCACTGTAGAGTTTCAGCTGGCAACGGCGGATGGCACGGTGGATTGTGTTCACTGACAATGCTTTCTGGAAGTATTCCTGAGCCCATTCTGTTATTTTCTTGACAGTGGCATTCCTGTTTGAGGTGCAGTGACGTTTAAGGGCCCGGAGATCACGAGTATCCAGTAGAGTTTTACAGCCTTGACCCTTACGCACAGCGATTGTTCCAGATTCTCTGAATCTTTTGATGACGTTATGCACGGTTGATGATGATAACTTAAAAGTCTTTGCTATTTTACGCTGGGTAACACCATTCTGGTATTGCTGCACTATCTTTCTGCGCAACAATGGTGGAATTGGTGATCCTCTTACCATCTTGGCTTCTGAGAGACACTGACACTCTGAGAAGCTCTTTTTATACCCAATCATGTTGTCAATTGACCTAATTAGTGTTAATTGATCTTCCAGCTGTTCGTTATATGCTCTATTTCCTTTTACCAGCCACTTATTGCTACTTGTCCCAACTTTTTTGCGATTTGTTGACACTGTGAAATTTATAATCAACATATTTTTCCTTTAAAATGTTACATTTACTCAGATTAAACTTTTGATCTGTCATCTATGTTATATCACGAATAAAATATTGACATTTGCCATCTCCACATCATTGCATTCAGTTTTTATTCACAATTTGTTTAGTGTCACAACTTTTTTGGAATCCAGTTTGTTATATGGCAAGCCAAGTGTCTCATTAATAGATAAAAGTGGCTATTAATGAGACACTTGGCTTGCCATACAAAGCCACTTTTGTCTCGCTCCGGAACTCCTGGAACTAACATCAAATCAGCTGCATTTCGCTGCACCGACCAGGCGAAATGCAGCTGATGTGACCATTGAAGTGCATTTATTAAGGAAAAGTTAAACTGACACACATCTTTGCTATAATATCGAGCAAACAAATTTTTTTAAGTGTTAACTTGTTAAATTGTTGTTAAAGTCCTCCCGTGCATGCTCCCGCCATTTGGCAGCCAATCAATTTTTGGCACAACACTGTCCCACGTTTCCCAGTGGTCAGTGGTGATGCATAATAGATACGACTTATACAGCGAAGCGACTTATTTATGTTTTTTATTCCACTTTATTACATATTTTTGGACTGATGTGACTTATACACAGCAGTGCGACGTGTACATCGGAATGTACAGTAGTTTAAATAGCACAGCTTCTGACGTACATGCCTACTTTCTGTGTGTTTAGTTTGATAATATTGTAAAAATATTTATATAATTTACAGTCCTTAAAACCAACATTCTGTTCTCCACAAGCTATGCTCCAAAGGCTTAAAAAAGTTTTTGAGCTTGTGTTATTGTACTGTGGCAGGGTAAAACTATAGCTTTTCAGTTGGAAGAAAATGTACTTATGACAAATCAATAAATAATTTACTTTTGTTCTCTGTTTTAGTTGCTAGTAGTGTGAGAAATATTCACAACAACGAAGCCTCTGAACAGCTTTCAAGTAATTCATCTAACCATAATACAAGACTTGGCTCAGACGAAGAGTATGTGAACGTCGCTCATAGACTGGAAGATGAGGTAATGCAGATAATCTAATTATTCTAAACTTGTCTTTAGCAGACACTTACTGTTAAAAATGATAATAAACGTCTTGTTTTCCAGCAGGAAAATGAGTCTTCAATGAAGGTTGCTGTATTTCCCGTTAAATCTCATATTGCGTGTTCCCCTGCTGGGAGTGAAGAGGCAGCAAAAAGTATGTAGCCTTTACCTATATATATATATATATATGTGTGTGTGTGTGTGTGTGTGTGTGTGTGTTATTCATTCAGTGGAATTAAAATAACACAACATTTCTGTTTCTGCAGGGTCCAGGCCTCCCCTCATCATGCAGTCACCTCCAATTGACGTGCCACAAGGTGCATCACCTGACCTTCTCCTCACAACACCTGATCGCAGAAAAAAACATAGAGACAAGAGTAAAGTGGAAAATGAGCATGTGGACAAAAATGTCTTCTATGATATAGTTAGTTCTCCATCTAAGGACTCTGCCAAGCTGACTTTAAAACTTTCCAGAGTGAAGATGCCAGACCTGAATCAAGCTGAAGAACTGTCCCCGAGATTAAATTTGGACTCAGACCACAAAACGGTTATATTGAACAATAATAATCAGTTGTTCAGTACCCCTCAAGACTTTCCGCACAAATTAGAAGCAGAGGAGGAGGAGAAAAACTGTCAACAGGTTGCTGTGCAGCCAAATACCAAGGAAACGGGAATCATCAGTGTGTTTGATGACTCTGAGATTGAAGCACTTGCAGAAATTGACAGAATAGAACCTGAATCAGCCAGTGAGCGAGAACGATGCTCTAAAGAGGTCCAGGACAAAGGTAAAATTGTATTTGTCTGTCTTTTTCTCATTTATTTTATGCCCCTAAGTTGCTTGAGGAAGTTCTAAGTTGGAGTGTATTTTTTGTTGCAGATAAGCCACTTAAAAAACGTAAACAAGATACATATCCTCAGGAATATGAAGCTGAGACAAGTGAGGGACCTACTGTACAAGCGGCCAACAGCATCAGCAAGCTGACACCCAAAAAATCAAGTACTGCAAGTAACGGCGCCATTCGGCCTGCCTTGATGGTCAGTATTGATCTGCAGCACGCTGGCAGAAAAGTAGGACAGCCTGTAGTGATCTTGGAACCACAGCCATTGTGTGAAGATCACATACATCGCATCAAGACAAATGCTGATGAAAAGGTCAATAATGTTGCTGAGAACAGACCTGGGATCATCAGACAGCTTCCTGACACCTCCCATATACCTGGCACAGATGAGCATAAAGACACCCATAAGCAAAAGCAGGAAAGCCGACGTGAATTAAGACACAAACACAACTCCAAAACTGACAACGACAAGGGGCACTCAGATGACACACAGCCGGACATGACATGGCAGAAACATGACAGGCTTTCAGATTCACATCACAAAGAGGAAAAGAACATCAGTCACCAATCCCACGGCAGCAGACCTGAAACGCCAAAATCCACAGGCATGGTGGATTGTAACTCTAGACATGAAGACAACAAAGACGGGGGTATAGAAAAAGATGTGGACAGAGAGACGCAGAGGAACAGAGACAAAGACAAACTCAGAGATGGAAGCAAAGCTAGAGATAAGGTCAAACCTAGAGAAAGAGACAAGGACAGAGATAAAGACAAATGTAAAGACACAAACATAGATGAAGATAAAGAGATAAACATAGATAAAGACAAAGACAGGAATAAATTAAAAAACAGAAATGTGGAAAGAGAAAAAATCAAAGACAGGACTAAAGGGAAAAGAAAAGACCTGGACACAAAAAAAGACAAAGATGGGAATGGTGGCAAAGAAAAGGGCATAGACAGAGAAAAAGACAGGAATGGAGACAAAGACAGGGATGAAGATAAAAAAATGAACAAAAATAAAGACCAAAATATAGTCAGAAACACTGACATGGACACAGTAAAAGACGAGGACAGGAGTAGAGACAAAGAAAAAGACAGAGACAGAGAAAAAAACAAGGATAGGAATAAAGGCAAAGAAAAAGATAAAATTATGGACAGAGAAATAGACAAAGACAGGAATGGAGACACAGACAAAGATGAAGTTAAAGAAAAGAACAGACATAAAGACAAAGACAGGAATAAAGTCAAAAACAGAGTCTTGGACAGAGAAAAAGAAAAGGACAGGATTAAAGACAAAGAAAAAAACTTTGACAGAGAAAAAGACAATGGTAGGAATAGAGGCAAAGATAAAGATACGGACAGAGAAATTGACAAGGACAGGAATGAAGACAGAGAAGACGATAAACAGATGCACAAAGACAGGACTAAGGTAAAAAACAGAAACATGGACAGAGAAAAAGGCAAGGACAGGAGTAAAGGCAAAGAAAAATATGTGAACAGAGAAAAAGACAAGGACAAAACTAAAGACAAAGAAAAAGACGTTGACAGAGAAAAAGACAAGGACAAGATTAAAGACAAAGAAAAAGACTTTGACAGAGAAAAAGGCAATGGTAGGAAAAGAGTCAAAGATAAAGATATGGACAGAGAAATAGACGAGGACATGAATGAAGACAAAGACAGAGATGAAGATAAAGAGATGCACAGATATAAAGACAAAGACAGACATAGAGTCAAAAACAGAAACACGGACAGAGAAAAAGTCAAGGACAGGAGTAGTGGCAAAGAAAAAGATACACACGTGGATAAAGAAAAAAACAGAGAAAAGGATGCAGACAGAGACAAAGACGGCGACAGGAACAGGAAGCACAGGACATTATCAAAAGAAGTGTGCAGCAAAACCTCACATGATCAGAACACTAAACCTGAAAGCCCAAAAATGAAGCAAGATGGAAGCAGAAAATCAGCTGATCTGGATGGTGGACAGAAGACAGGCAGCTCCAAGCTTCACAATCCCACAAATAAGGACCATAATACAAGCTGGGATGGCTGGGACGTTAGCTGCCTACCTGGAAACAAACAACCAGCCTCTGAGACAAAGTCCAGCGAGTTCCCTTCATACCTGCTGGGTGGCAATACAGGAAGCCTTAAAAACTTTGTGATTCCTAAACTAAATAGAGATGGAGCAGATAAGGACCCCAAAGGCACACTGGTCTGTGGATGGACCGAACCACGTGTGAGGTTGGAGAGGGTGTCGCTCAAAGAGACATTAAACAAAAGATCTAAACCAGTTGTTGTGCTTAAGAGACTCAGCATCGAGAGCGTAAAAAGGATAATTAAGGAAACCAAGAATGCACACAGGTCCCGATCCAAACACTGGTCCTCGTTTGAAAATTCAACCAGAGGTATGATCTAGGGCTGCATGATATTAGAAAACTTGAGATGTGGGATATTAATGTTTAATATAGCGATGACGACAACTGCATTCTCTAGTCTGGGATACTTTTAGTTAATCTATAAATAGGATCTAAAAATCGAAAGTATTTGTTTTATTGACTCTTTTTCTTTGCTGATAAATTGTTCTCTTAGTGTTTGATTTGAGATTCAACACTCAAAAGAACGTGTGTGAACAGTTATGTGGTTTTAAAAATATTCAGTTTATTTATATAATGCCAAATCACAGCAGAAGTTGTCTCAGGGCACTGAACAAAAACATTCATATACATTTAAAAAGCCTTTTAGTAAAACTCATCTATAATATGTCTTTAAACTTCAATAGACCTTTGTAAGGACACTTCTTAAGAGTAAATTAAAGTGAAAACATTTGGGTGAATAAGACCATTTGTTACTTAACATTTACACTGTAAAGAATAATTTTGGTTTAAAATTCACTTTTGCCTTTTGCTTACAGGGATGTTTTGTGAGAGAGCAAATAAGCGACGGCACAGCATGATCACTCAGAGGTCTAAATATGCTGAGGCAGACTCGGATGATGAGAAAGATAGTAGTGAGGATGATTCTGACAACCAGTGTGAGTATTATTTAAACCCCTTTAAATAAAAATCATGTGCACATCACGTTGCTGAAAAAGTCTGCAATGCCGTATCCACAGGCAACAGTAACTGTGCAATAGTGTTTAACAAAAAACAGCTTCCACGTATTTTGAGTTTATTATATTTTATATTGTTCTAGCTGCAAGAAAAAGAAAAAAGAGCAACCATGACAGGACATGGAAGTTTGAAGAGAAAAGGGGTTCGAAGGACCACCGGCGTGGTGGAGGCTTTTCTAACTCACGCAATCGGGATTGGAACTCAGATGATTCAGATGAAAACTCTCCACCACTGAGGCTGAATGATGGTGAGAATTTTCTGGGTTTATAGTTTTGTTATATCTACAGTGTTTCCCCTATCGTTATACAATGAGGGCGCCCCAGATGGATGGAATGCCTGCCTAATCTTTAAAAATTATGCTTTTATGTAGGGGTGCACCGATTGCACCGATCACTGATTTCTAAAAAGCCTGACCTGCTGATTCCGATTTTGTTTTATAAGTGACACTGTCAGATGTTATACAGTCACAATGCACCTTCAATTTTCCAGTAATATTTTATTGAAAAACATACCCTTGAACAAAATCTTAGAAACAATACAAACTTGTTTTAACTGGCCATGAGGTAGTGCTCTGAAATATAAATGAAGTTCAGACAGTTGTTGTTAAAACAAAAAAATCAGTAAAATCGGTTTCTCGTGCAAATATTGGCTGATTTCCCAAAATTAAGGAAATCAGGGCCAATAAATCAGTGCACCCCTACTTTTATGTCTACTTAGTCATAGGATTGATTTGTATCTTTTTTACCACACATTTTCACAAAACTTTTATCTTTAAACTTTTTGAAAAACACAAGCTGTTCTTTATGTTTTGGTCTCTTAAAGAAAAAAAAAAGGCCTTTTTATACTTTTTGGACATGCATGCTTTTAGTCACATTTAACAATCTACTTTCTCATTTTATGGCAGCTGATTGTCATTATTACGTTTGAATGAACACCTGGTGCTTTTGATAAATAATTTGCAATTGCAGCTTTACTAAGTTGGGCTATAGTACACTCGACAAGTCCTAAATGCTGTTCTCGTATTATCTGATAGACATGCACAGTTGCAGCTTAAACATAAAATCTGTTTTCATAAGAATTTGACAGATCGTATTAATGAAACACACATATCAGGTGAATTTTCCTCCCTCTTTATTATATTAATAATATTTACCTCAAACCCTAAGCTTTTCTTTTACAGCACTTAAATGGGATGAGTAAAAAACAGAAGACAAAAAACTTGAATATTTGCTGTCATCTCCAAAGTTGGTATGTTTTACCACAATTATTTGTGAGCTTGAAATGCTTAAATTGATTTGCAATTTACTGTGTCAATATGACATGTATGAACATGTGGATTCATTCTAGACTGGTGATATTCCACACGATGTTTACAATACACAAACGGCAAACAGGACTTACTCCCTCCGTCACTGCCATAACAGAGAGAAACAGTGATGTCAATTTGACAAACTGAATATGTTTGCTTTAACTCATTATTGAATCGATTATGGTTGCATCTCACTGGGTTGTGACTGTTAGGAGACTAGTTGGTAACTCAAAATTGGCAGAAACTTGATTTTTTTTTGTTCTCACTACTATCTGAGTGTTTGCAACCAAAGGACCAGTGAGCTGTGTAGCTGCAGTTTGAGCCACCAGTTTCTGAAAATCTGTGTTTGTTGTGTGTCTGTGTCTGTGTGTGTGTGAGTCTGCACAGCTTGCAAATCTGTCGTCTTGCCTGTGCACATTATTTGGTTGTTCACTTCAGCTCAATTTGTACACGACTTGGCAGCCGCCCCACATTTATGATTTATTCTGTTAAAGTATCTGTTCTCAAAGATGGGTTCAGGACCCTACTGAGTCGCAAAACACCAAGTAGTGATCTTAACACGATCTTTAGTAACCTAAAATATTTAAAAATATATATTAATTGTTGCACATTTATGCCATATTAGAACATTTTAATACTTTTTTTGGATGTAACTGGGACCCCGTGTACACAAATTTGTTCCACCACATGTACCACATGTAGTGTGATTGATAAATAAAGAACCTTGAATTATTGAAGAAAAAAACAGTATTCAATTGTAAAATGGCTGTTAAGGATGTTTATGTTGCCACTTAATTGGCTTAGATGTGTTCTTTACTTCAACCAGTGAAAATTGGGGCCACAAGTCTTTACCACTGTTGTTTTGTGAGTTGATTGCAGTAAAGTTTGAAAATTATTGTGTGGAGTACATTTTTGAAATGAAGACAGGTTGATTTGTACTAATTTTTCAGTTTATAATCAGCATGTTTTTTTATACTTGGAGAATGGCCTTGAATGCTTTGTGTTAGAGGAGAGCTCCCACACAGGTGTCAAAATACAGCTTTAGCCTTCTTCAGACAGGTTAAACCCAGTGCTAGTGACACAGTTCAGGTGGATTTGTCACAGACTGGAGATGCCTAACATGGCTCTGTGACTATTTGAGTGAAAAGTTGTCACAGAAATGTTTTAATATTTTTTAAACCGAAGCGATGGGACTGCCTCTGCAACTCAAATCGCGATCTCTGAGAAAGTTGCCAGACATTCTAAAGACTCCCTCATTAATACAGTTTGCCAACTGGTCACAGCTCAAAAATATACCACCTTTAGTATTACTTTTCTCATTAATTTGTTATTTGTTTAGTTTCCAGAAAAATGAAGAAAAAAGAGAAGCAGAAAAGCAGAATGATGTATGATTCCATGACTTTAGAAGGTAACACAATTTTATTCCTATAACATGATTCTGATGGTTGTTTAAAAAAGCAAACTCTAAAGAAACATACTTTTATACTAAGCTTGCTGATTTAGGTTGATTGATTGATTGATTGATTATATTGTTTCATTTTTAGAAAAGTTGGACTCTTCTACATTTAAGAGATTTACATCCAGCGTGGACAACATTCTTGAGAGCCTTGAGGACATAGACCTCACTGCAACAGGTAGATACAAAGTATTGAACATTTTTCAAACGTCGACTCACATGTTGGAGCGGCGAGCTGACTGACATCCTCTGGTTCCTTAATTAGATGATGATGAGATTCCTCAAGAGCTTCTCCTTGGAAAGCAGCAGCTGAGTGAGCTGTGCAGCGATTCCACCAAGATTAAAGCTATGAGCATCTTCAACAAGGTTTATATAAACAAAGTCTGATTTACAGTAAGGCTCCCAGCAGCACTGTTGGAAAATAACCGTCCTTTAACTGTTTATGTTTCACAGTTTTCATCAAGTAAACTGGTGAAAATTTTAAATATTCTGGAGAAGAACATTCAAGACAGCGTCACTCTCTCCACCTTAATGAGTCATGTAAGTTCTCAATCTTAATATTGATAAAACTCAAGTTAAAACGTGTGTTTTAATTATTTATTTATATTTAAATGAATCTCTAGGATAATGACTCCATGGATGAGGAGCGTTTGTGGCGTGACCTCATCATGGAGCGCGTGACCAAGTCTGCAGACGCCTGTTTGACTGCACTCAACATAATGACTTCTCCACGCATGCCTAAAGTCGTTTATATAGAGGACATAATCGAGAGGGTGCTGCAGTTCACCAAGTTTCACCTGCAGAGCACTTTGTACCCTCAGTATGACTCTGCCTACAGAAGTGGAGGTCAGCAGCAGTGTTCGTCTCTTCTTTTAAGATTCTCCACAGTGTTCATGTAGTCTTGAGTCATTTGCCAATAATTGTTATGGACCATATATGAAAACTCCCTGATTGAGCTACAGGTGGTACAGATAATTTTGAGCTCTTTTAAAGTTTCTAGTAGAAATGTTGTGTCGCTCACCGACCACTTTTACTTCCCCGACATGCTAATGTTATTAGCATTAGCCAAGCGGAAATGACATAGGTCGCACATGCACAGCCAGGTCAGTTTTTCACGATCGGAAAAAAATGAACAGATTAAGTGTTTACATGCGCACCGTTCGGATTATGAGTCGGCGTAAACCACCAGTCTCATTCTGATTACAAATTCATTCGGATCGAGCTGAATCGACAAAAAATAATCCAAATGGGGCGTTTGCATGACACATTTTTATTCCAAATGGCCGTTTAATCCGATTACTTATGTCCATGTAAACATAGCTAATGTCTCACTGAAGTTGCAGCAGCTATGGGGAAAGACAGACCCCCGCCCACTCCCTTCCTTTTCTGAGTCTGTGTCTGTCACAGCAGAGACACAGGTTGTGCGCCCGCCCCCATGGACTTGCGCTCCCGATAGTTATATGTTCACGCACGGCGTGCACACACAACATACTTGGGATCCTGAACAGGCTTAATTAACATAACAAGCCAACGAGTCCGACAAGCAAGTTACCATCCTCTGTGTCACTTCTGAACAACTCCGCCCACTCCAGAGGAAGATTGGGGGAGAGGTAGCAGAAGAGGAACAGCATATAGTTGTCAAAAGCCTAGAGGGCCCTCTCGCGGCTGCAAATGGTAATGTTTACTCTTTGGTTCATGTCAGTATGAATGAACATTTAACGCGTCAGTCAAAAATTGTGTCATGAATAGGGAAAAATAAACGTATATAAGTCACTTTGTCGCAGGACTGGCCAAACTATGAAAAATAGAGCGACTTGTAGTCCAAAAAATACAGTACACATAAAATTTTCTTAAAAATTGAAGGAAACCAGAGCAGTATTTATGAATGAAAATATATTTTGCTCTTAATAGTTAGCAAGAAACAATCAAATAAAAAAACATTTTAGAAATAAAACATTAATTCAAGGGGAAAAAAATCTTCCCACATAATTTTTCCACCGTTTCATACAAATAAAAGCAGCACTTTTCTGCAAACATTTTAAGTTGCAATAAATTTGACTGAGTTTTAGATGTCAAAAAATGGCTTCATACTGGATAAAAAGTTTGAAAATGTGCGTCTTGAAAAGTATAATAAAATTTCAAAATGAAAAATTATAGGAAATTCTTACTAAATGTCAAATCAATTCAGCCATGCTTTCTATGCTGTCTCGGGTGTTTTATTTATTTATTTTTGTTATTAATTCTTGTTTCCTATTTATTCTTCTCATCAAGGTGGCACACATACCTCAAAGTCCAAGAGAGCAAAGTCTTCCATTCACAAACAGAAAGTGGTCGTGGTGCTCTACAGCAAAGTGTGCGATATTATCAGCAACATCTCCGAGCTCCTTGAAATCCAGCTGCTCACCGACACAACAATTCTTCAGGTGCCATTTTTGAATCTCTTTTTTCATATTGTTCAAAATTGTGGCCTTCTGTCACCTCTGACTGTTGAGCTTCTGCCATATCTGTCTGCTTTTGTGCCTTTTTTAGGTGTCCAACCTTGGTATAACACCTTTTTTTGTGGAGAACGTCAGCGAACTGCAGTTATGTGCCATCACACTAGTGACAGCAGTAAGTTGGCTGTTTAATGTTGCTTGCATTAGTTTTGTAATTGATATGTGATTGAACTGTCACCCCTGCGTGACTTCTTAAGTGGCTGTGTTTCAGTTTAGTGCTTCAAACATATTTTTGTAGGTGTTCTCTCGTTATGAGAAGCACAGACAACTCGTTCTTGAAGACATTTTCACCTCCATGGCTAGACTTCCTACAAGTAAACGCAGCCTCAGAAACTTTAGGTAACTAAAACCTGTGCATATTTTTGCTTCGTTCAGTTACATAAATCAATGCAACTTGTTATGAAACTCTTCGTACACCCAGTGATATTGATGTCTCCACTTCCTTAGGTTAAACAGCAGTGATTCAGATGGAGAGCCCTTGTATATCCAGATGGTCTCGGCCCTCGTTCTTCAACTCATCCAGTGTGTGGTTAACTTTCCCTTTGAGAAAGAGGCCGAGGAGGAACGCAATAAAAAGGTAACTCCAAAATGTGATCTGATTTACAGTATATACATATTTATTAGATATCATGGTTCATTTATTTACTTCTATTATTTTTGGCTTATTTTTCTAGATGGATAAAGACGCTATCATTACAAACTCTTATGAAACTGCCATGAGGACCGCTCAAAACTTTCTCTCAGTGTTTCTGAAGAAGTAAGTCACTATTTCTGCTCTGACTCATGACATAAAATGTTTTTCTTCTCTTGTTTATTCCTTGTTATTTAATTATTATTTATTTGTATTTAATTTCCCTCTGGGATGAATAAAGTATATTTGAATTTGTTAACCTCCAGCATATTACCCTGTTATAGGCTGTAACCAGGTCACCATTCAGCTGTTAGTTCTAATGAAAGGCTGTGATTTGTTTATTTCAGATGTGGCAGTAAACAGGGAGAAGAAGACTACAGACCTTTGTTTGAGAACTTTGTTCATGACCTGCTGTCTGCCGTCAACAAGCCTGAGTGGCCAGCAGCTGAACTGCTGCTCAGTTTACTGGGCCGACTTCTGGTGAGTAGCGCTGTTCTCTCCAAAGGAACCGTCACTCATCCTCTGTCTTCATTTTGACATTTCCATTACCTCCTTTTCCACTCTAGGTGCACCAGTTCAGTAATAAGCAGACAGAAATGGCTCTCAGGGTGGCATCGCTGGACTACCTCGGCACTGTTGCCTCTCGCCTGCGTAAAGATGCTCTCTCTAGCAGGATGGACCAAAGAACTATTGATCGCATTCTCAAAGAGGTGCACTAATTGTCTGAATGGATTGATACATGTAAACTAACAGAATTTCAATATGTATTTATTATGCTCCTGGTATATTTGTTTCTTTACAGACTCCAGGCAGTGATGAGATACAGCAACTCCAAAAGGCTTTGTTGGACTTTCTAAATGGAAACATCGATGCAGATCCAGCTTTACTGGTAATTGTTTGAGTTTTGTATTCTTAATGCTTTTAAGAATTAAACATACTCAATATAATCTTGTCATCACATGTATTCATTTGTTTTATCCAGTTTGCCAGGAACTTTTATATTGCCCAGTGGTACAGGGACAATACAGTGGAGGTAGAAAAAGCGATCAAGTCTCAAAATGAAAATGATGAGGACTCTAAAGATTGGCGACATTCCAAAAATGTGGACCCGACTGAGGAGATTGCACAGTTCGCTGAGGCAAGGAAGAAATTTCTTCGTAAGATCATCAGGACTACACCTTCAGATTTCAGCTCTGTCAGGTTGGTACAGCACTTTGAGCAACTTTTATTATTTTTTTCTTATTCTGTTATTAAAGTGTTTATTTATTTATTTTTATTCCAGAGCAAAGTCTGACGCAATAGACTATGAAGACTCCTGTCTGGTTGTCAGATATCTGGCTTCTATGAGACCGTTTGCACAGAGCTTTGACATTTATTTATCACAGGTAAGATGCTTATTTTATGTTAAAGATGATAGAGAAATCACATCGTGCCACGTGTGTCATTTGTGTTAAATAATGTTATTGTAGATTCTGAGAGTCCTGGGTGAGAGTGCCATCGCAGTGCGAACTAAAGCCATGAAAAGTCTGTCAGAAGTTGTGGCTGTGGATCCAAGTATTTTAGCGCGAGTAAGTGTTGGACGGTCCTTACACTTTTTGTCACCGAATCTTTAGCAGCAGCTCTCAATGATTTGTCTCAAGCTTATCAGCCACAGCAGACACTCCACTTTTGTTCACTCCATTTGTCTGAACGTCATGTAAATTATTAAGGTGTTTTTATTAATTTTGTGTATTACTGCAGTAATTGTATGTCAAGATCTGATCACTTTTAATATATTGTGGCTTACAGCTGCTCACCCAGTCCCTGAACATGCCTTTAGGTCACTAGACAGATAGCTACACTTCTGTGTATAAAAAAGCAGCTAAAATGAAAAGTTTGTGTCTTGCTCACCCTTTATATTTGTTTTGCAGGTGGACATGCAGCGCGGAGTGCATTGTCGCCTCATGGACAACTCCACAAGTGTACGAGAAGCAGCGGTGGAGCTTCTTGGTCGCTTTGTGCTGAGTCGACCAGAGCTTATTGAGCAATACTACGACATGCTCATCGAAAGGATTCTGGTAATTTATCAAGCCTCGTTGCTACTCGTTTAGCACAAGTGTATCATACACATGAGCACAAGACTGAACTGATTTGTGTCCTATTATGGGTTTATTAAAGTTGATCTCAAGTTCATCCTCGACTAAATGTGTTTAAAAAGTTAATTTAAGATGCAAAGGGTCAGCTGAGGTTAAATGTATTCCCCATACCGCCACCTAAAGTTCAAATGAAGAACTGCAGGAGTTTGCAGCTTGACTTTTTGCAGAAATGTATAAATTTGTACTCTTCACTCTTAATCCTGAGCAGTTTGTCTGCCATAAATATGTTTTTCTTTTATCAGGGGTTGGGGGGTGGTGATTCTATTATTTAACCTTTTAAGACCCAAACTCTTGCATGACATGTATTATTAATTCCTATAATGTCCACATATGTGGATGCCAGGTCCTAGAAGGACCTCATTGTACTATTTATTTTTGTTTATTTTAATTATTAAAACATCATAACAGAAAAAAATGTGTAAAACGGCTCTTTGTTTATTCATATTTAACTGTCTTTTTACAGGACACTGGTATCAGCGTGAGAAAAAGAGTCATTAAGATTCTGAGGGACATTTGCTTGGAGCAACCAGACTTCCACAAGATCACAGAGATGTGTGTTAAGATGATCCGAAGGGTCAACGATGAAGAAGGGATCAAGGTTTGTGTTTATTTTATCGTTTATGTATATTTTGCAAATGGGACGTTTTAATTTTTAATACGCAGTTTTTAAACTTTTTAAATGTTTTGTTTTTGCAGAAACTGGTGAATGAGACATTCCAGAAACTCTGGTTTTCTCCCACACCGAGTCATGACAAAGACGCCCTGTCAAGGAAGATCTTGAACATCACAGATGTTGTAAGTACTATTTAGGGTAAAAGAAAGTCTTTCACTGAAACACCATGTATGGTTTTGATGTAATCTAATGTTTGCCTTGTTTTGGCTTGTTCCAAGGTGTTGGCTTGTAAAGATTCTGGTTATGACTGGTTTGAGCAGCTTCTGCAAAATGTAAGTTGTGTGACTCTTACAAAAATTAAGCAGCTTTTTGTTTGTGTACTTTTTCCCTCCATTATAACCACTATACTGTGACTGTGTAGCTTCTGAAATCAGAGGCGGATGCTTCATACAAACCGACCAAGAAGGCCTGCACCCAGTTAGTGGACAATTTAGTGGAACACATAAAACAATACGAGGAGTCCATTGCAGGTAATTAGAAATCTATTACTGTAATATTATTAGCAAAAGTAGATGTTTGTGGTATTTGTATACTGCTGTGTTTACCATTATCTGGCTGTGATAAATAACTTTTTTTTTTGTTTGTATATCAGACTGTGAAGACAAAGGGGTAAACTCAGGCCGTCTGGTAGCGTGCATCACCACTCTCTACCTAATTACTAAAATCAGAGCCCAGTTTATGGTCAAACATGCCATGACAATGCAGCCTTACCTAACCATCAAATGCAATGTAAGTACAATGCCTGTTGTTTTAGTTTGGCAAAGTTACTCCTTACTTCACTGTATGTAAAATAATTAAAGTTAGAGTCAAACCCAAAGAACAGAAATAAAGGCTTAACATTTATTTTATGCAACAAGTCCATCTAGTGGCAGCTTTACAGAAATGCAGTTGTTTAACAACCAAAACAACTAATCTTGGTCTGCAGGTTACAACTGTCCTGTGTTTCCTTTCTTTCATTTTAGACCCAAAATGACTTCATGGTAATTTGCAATGTGGCCAAGATCCTGGAGCTTGTCGTGCCTCTGATGGATAACCCTAGTGAGACATTCCTCACTACGATAGAGGAAGACCTGATGAAGCTTATCATCAAATACGGCATGATGGTTCGTCTCAGTTACAGAAACGTCATCCATCCATTATCTTTACCCGCTTCTTCCTTTCTGGGTCACAGGGGTCACTTGTGCCCATATCCAGCAGTCACTGTGCGAGAGGCGGGGTACACCCTGAACAGGTCGCAAGTCCATCACAGAGACAAGACAAACGACCATTCACTCTCTCACTCACACTTTATAGTTAGGACAATTTAGAGTTACCAATCAGCCTAACATGCATGTTTTTGGTCTGTGGGAGGAAACTGGAGTTCCTGGAGAATATCCACGCATGCACGGAGAGAACATGCAAACTCCACCCAGAAAGGCCCTCGGTTGGGACTCGGTCCAGCGACCTTCTCATTGAGAGGCAACAGCTCTACCAACCACTGTGCTACCTCAGAAATGTCATGAAAATAATAAAAAAGCATCAACATATATGATGCAGAATCATAATATATTTTATTGTGTCTGCTTCTTAGGTCGTGCAGCACTGTGTGAGCTGTCTTGGTGCCATTGTGAACAAAGTCACGCACAACTACAAGTTTGTTTGGGCTTGTTTCAATCGATTTTACGGTAAGAACTATGAACGAGCATCATGATTCAGAACCCTAGCAGAAATGTCAGATTGCTTGCGCTTTTGCTTTTTGTTAAATTGTCAGTTTTAGTGTGTATCGCAAAAGTCTAAGTGCTTAGAAATATTAGTTGCATTAGTTTATACTTGTTTTGTTTTACAGGAGCTCTGGCTAAACTCAAGACGCAGCACCAGGAGGACTCCAGCAGCTCCACTCTGGCTGCTAACAAACCCACCCTGCTGCGCTCCCTGTTTACTGTGGGGGCTCTGTGTCGACACTTTGACTTCGACCAAGAAGAATTCAAGGGTACTAACAAGGTAAAGACACGTCTTTTGATTGAAAAAGGTTTTTAGATCTATTGTAGAATTTGTTTTGATGGATCCTGCTATCTTCCCTTGTGTCTTTTAGATTGTCATTAAGGAAAAGGTGTTGGAGCTTCTGCTGTATTTCACCACTCATGAGGATGAGGAAGTCCAGATCAAGGCCATCATAGGTCTAGGTACATTGCACATAACATCTTGTTCGTACATTTACTGATTTATTGTCTACTACATTTAAATTGTTATGTTAGATTGACTTTAGTTTTCTCAGTTATGACTTGCCTGTGTGTACTCTATCAAGGGTTCCAGTTCATCATGCACCCAGAGCTCATGTTTGTGCAGGACATAAAGGTCCTGTATAACAACAGGCTGTCGGATGACAACAGTGCCGTCAGTTTAAAAATCCAGGTGCTCAAAAACCTGCAGACGTACCTGCAGGAGGAGGACTCTCGAATGCAGGAGGCTGATCGAGAATGTGAGTTTTACAAAGACTGTTGCATGTTGTTAAAAATCACTGCGGTATGTACATTGAGCAAACATGTTGAACCTGCTTATGTTCTTGTACATTCAGGGAAAAACCAAGCCAAACAGGAAGATTTGAAGGAGATGGGGGACATTTCATCAGGCATGAGCAGCTCCATTATGCAGATTTACCTCAAGCAGGTGCTGGAGTCCTTCTTTCACTCACAGTCCACTGTTCGGCACTTCGCTCTGAGTGTCATTACTCTGACTCTGAGTCAGGGTCTCATCCACCCTGTGCAGGTGTGTTCACCATCTTAACAAAAATCTTAAATTTACTTTATAATTCACAAACAATATGCAAAAAAAAAATTTTGTTTCATGCTTTTTTTGTGTGCAGTGTGTGCCCTACTTGATTGCCATAGGAACAGATCCAGAGCCAACCATGAAGAACAAAGCGGACCAGCAACTCGTGGAGATTGACAAGAAATATTCAGGTTTCATCCATGTGAGTGGATGATGGTTAACTTTAACTAGAATGGATGTAAAAGTTAGGAAACAAGGGGCTCTTTCAATAAATTGTGTGAAAGATTCATTAGAAGGACTTGACTAAGGGACTAAGGACAAAGGGAAACAATCAAAACTACTCTTATCATAAATGTATATTATCAAAATAATAATTTAACTGTTTTTGTATAATTTCTTTAAAGCTATGGGGAAAGTTAACTCAGTGTTAAACTCAGATTAAGAATTTTGCTATTTTAAAATATTTTAAACAACTGTTACATATACAGGACATGTAATGGAAATACAAGTATCTAAATGTATTTCTGTTTTTATCTTTGTTGTACTGTGTGAATAATATGCATAGTTAAACATAGGATTTGAAGAAATGAATTCAAATCTTATCATGTTGCAGTATCTGTGTATTTGATAAGTGGCGAAACTTTGTGCATTCACAGATGAAGGCTGTTGCAGGGTTGAAGATGTCCTATCAGGTGCAGCAGGCCATAAATGGAGGCAAAAGCGCAGCGATCCGAGGTTTTCGTTGCGATGACTCAGACTCTGCTCTCTGCTCTCATCTCTACACGATGGTCCGTGGGAACCGACAACACAGACGAGCCTTTCTCATCTCCCTGCTCAACCTGTTTGATGACAGCTCTGTAAGTTCTCTTTTTTGTTGTTGTTGTTGTGAAATTGAGGTTTTTATTTCAGTGTATTTTTAAAGAAGAGGGAAATATTGATTTAACTGTTATGTTTTATTCTCTGCAGAAAACAGAGGTGAACATGCTGCTCTTTGTAGCCGACAACCTGGCCTGCTTCCCATACTTAACCCAGGAAGAGCCTCTTTTCATCATGCATCACATAGACATTACACTGTCTATCTCTGGTAGCAACCTGCTCCAGTCTTTCAAGGAGGTAGGAACCATTTACACCTAATGCTTGAGGTGATAACTATATTTTGCAAGTAGCCTGTATTTACTTAAAAAACATTTTAGTAGAGCATAAAGAAGAATTAAAAATTGTCACAAACACATAATTAAAGCAACAATGTGATATTTTTTTTTACGTTTTATACCTCAGTTTTTTTAGACCCTTCAGTTCACACAGATCTCTTTATGAGAAGATCAAAAGTGATCTTGTGATTAAATCTGTTACTCAAATAGTAGTTTATTCTGAAAATTAGCATGTGAATAGATGCTCTTTTGGGACAGTATTGATTGCTGTCTTTGCCTTGTTTACGTTACAAAGCCATGCTGCAGACGCACAGCTTCTGCCTCATGAGCAGCTGAGCACATGAACAGTAGCTGACATTCATAATGTAGGAGCTGTTGCTGTTTCCTGCTACTCAATGGCCACAAACCTTTTAGCTTTTGACCCACAGAATGACAGTGACAGAAGCTTGTGACCCCATCAACCATTTATAATATATAAACTTTGACAGAAACTCTATAAAAAAACATACAGTCACCTTGTCTCCTCCTATAAATAAATGTGCAAATTAGTGTAAATACACAGCAGGCTTCCACTCTGTGGCCAAATAACCATGGCAAAGGCATTGAGTAAAGCAAAAAAAAAAAAAGCTGTACTAGTGTCAAGCGGTAAAGTTTTATTTAATAGTAATTCCTCCAAGGTTGGAGTTTATTAATAAAAGAGGGAAAACAAGTTGAAGAAGGTGTTAAATGCTTTTAACTCAGCAGGATCTGAATTAAGGTCCTTGCCTGAAATGTAAAATAAATGGTTTGACATCAGAGAAACGAATTACTGCGCATCGACAGAGTGTTTCTGGGCATCATACAAATAAGGCTGTCCCATACAGCTGGCATAGCACAGGAAGGACTGTGAAATACTTGACCTGTCAGCCAGCTCCCTCTGAAAGGCTCTGATTGCAAGAAGGAACCCCAACATGGTGAGGACTTTACTCGTCATCAGCAATGCACAGCTCCTCCTAGTTTCCCTCTGTAACTCCAGGGCCAGTTTAGTGCGGAGCAACAAAAGAGTGGCTCTGGATACTTTAAATCAGTTAAAAAAACAGGCATGATCCTTTGTTAGCAGGTCAATGTGATCCCTGAAAACACCGACTCCCCCAGCAGCACCACAGCTGCCATTGTTCCACAATTACACGCAACTTTACCCAGCTATTTATGGACACGTGTCATTGTCTACACCTTGTGGACCGTAGGAATCATCACATGAGATTCCCTGAATTAACACGCTGATCCAACACGTTTTTTTCCTCAGTGAGAATGGAAGTTCCCCCGTAGACAGTTCACATACATCTCATGTACCTCAGCTGTCTGTGTGCCTCGCAGGCGTGCGGTCACTGATGCATGTTTATATGTACATGTGACAAAAATAGAGGACTTTACAGTTCACATTGTAGGGAAGTTGTTTTGATCATTTTTGAGGTGTGTTATGGAAGATGGGCAGGTCAAAGGTTTGCATATATTTACACACTTTCATACAAGGTTTGTTTTGATACATCTCGATGTGTGCATAAAACATGACATGCACAACCTGTTTTTTGCAAACGCACCATTTAGACATGAGGCACCTGGATAATATCTAATTACCCCCACTTGATGTTTCATGGCTCACAGTGGAGTCCGAACCTCAAAAATCAGTTTTTGTATTATTATTTAAAAGTTTGCTTCTTTTTTGCTCTTTGTTTATGCTTAATTTAGGTATTTTTCTCTTAATTTGTATGTTAAAAAATGTAATTATCTATAAATTCAAGATAAAAAGTATTTGATAGCGTACAAAGTGTTTTTTATTCTTTTCAGTGATTTAAAAAAAAACTTATTCGGAGCCATGTTTTTGAATTGTTTTATATTTTTCCTATTTTTGACCCCAAGTTATATTTTTGATATTTTTGTAATCTTAAGTTTTAAGCCAACGTCACTGACTGTGTATTAGTGATTAATTTTTGTGTGTGTTGGGGGGTTATTTTTCAGTGTTTACGGAAAGAGCCCATAAGGCACGAGAAGAAGGTGAAGACTAAAAAGAGAAAAAAGAAGCATTCTCGCAGGAGGAAAGACAGTTCAGATGAGGATGAAGATGACGAGGAGGAAAAGCAGAGCAGCAGCACATCCAGCAGCAGTGATGAGGAAGAAGAAGAAGAGGTCCACAGGCGAAAAAAGCCCGGAGCGCACGACTCAGACTCAGACTTGGAGGACGAGGAGGCTGTGATGGACCGTTTGCCTGATAACACCACCCCTCTGATGGACTTTGCGAGTGCTTCACAGGGTGTTCTGCTCCTGCTGGTCCTCAAACAGCATCTGAAAAATCTTTACGGCTTCTCAGACAGGTTGGTCACATCGTCAAGATTAATTTTTTTTTATCAACTTGCACAGTTCGGTGAACATCTTGTTTGTTTTTCAGCAAAATCCAAAAGTATTCACCAACAGAGTTAGCCAAAGTCTACGACAAGGCGGTGAACAGGAAATCTAAGGTGCACTTCAACCCTCGTCAGACTCTGGATTACCTGAAGAGCAATCTCACGAAGAGAGAACTCAGCTACGAGACTAAGAAGAATATCGTCAAACAGTATTTGGATGTAAGCACACGGAGGCAAAACTTGTCTGTGATTTACATGATAACTTATTCTTTGATTTAAATTAAATCTTAGTTCCCATCTTTCACAATTAAAAATTTTCCCACCTTTTGCCTCGTAGTTCAAGGTACTGATGGAGCACTTGGACCGTGACGAAGAGGATGAGGAAGGGGGTGAAGCTAATGCCAATGCCAGAAACAAAGCCATCAATTCGCTGCTGAAGGGCCCGAAACCCCAGAACCACAACCACAGTGATTACACAGCTCCAGTGGAGACAGACGATGAGGAGAGTGAGGAAGAAGATCCTCCTGCGGTAAGAACTGAACACTGCCCATTTTCATCTTCAGTCATAAATAGTTTTGGTAAACATGGTTATTAACATGCTTTATTTATTTAAAGGGGACAATGAGCCATGGATCAACATGGGATTACCCCGTAATGGTGCCATTTTAGCCTAGCACTGATTCCTTGTGTTAGTTGCTTCCCTGCTACAACACACCTAATTCAGTGATTTAATTATTTCCTCAGGTTCTGCAGAAGCCTGTTAGTCGCCCATTTGTTCAAATCAGGTGTGTCAAAACAGAGAAACAACTAAAACATGCAGAATGGTGTTCCTTGAGGACTAGGGTTGGAAACCACTGGCCTAGAGGGCACATTCTTATCCATAGTTCCTGGCAGGTTGAAGGTGAAACACTTAAAAAAAGGAATTATATAAAACACTCTAATAAACAAATACAAACTGCATACGTGCATTAATGAGATTGTAAAAGTGACCAATAAACAAATACAGTAGTCCCTCGCTACTTCGCGGTTCGACTTTTGGGGACTTGCTCTTTTGCAGTTTTTCCATGTAAGATTGGACATGGACGCACAACTGGCTGATTGATGGATGAGCCACTCGATCAGCATGGAATTATTATTTAAAATAAATTATTTTATATTATTTAGCACCTGTGAGCAGCCCACAGGTGCAGGGAAAAGCTCCCTCCTGCACCATATCATGATCTCCATTCTGCAGAGGAGAAGTGGGCGTGGCCAAGAGTGCTGGCGGCAGAGAGCAGTTGGTGGCAGAGAGCTGATTTCATGACATGCTTTGCTCTTTTAGAGCGTTTAGAAACTTTGTTTAGAATATTACAAGAGTAAACTACTTACTGCTTGTACTACTATTCCTACTTTGTGGTTTTTCACTTATCGTTGAGACGCTGAGAACGGAAACTCTTGCGATAAACGAGGGACTACTGTACATTAAAGCATATAAAATAAAACTGGGGGGAAGTTTTCGTTAAAGCTCAGCAAAATGATGACAAATCTGAATGCTTTGATGAGTCCTCATGACCCATTGAGACTACCTGTATAAATAAAAGTTATAATAAAATATAAAAAAAAAAAAAACAGGGATCACAAGTTAAGATGTTTCAGATGAGCCTTAAAAAATGGAAAACTTTTAAAGTTGCTGGTAAAATATTCTCAAAATTTATTCAATGTTTTCCAAAAAGTTGCAATGATGAAATGAAAAATGACTTTTTGTCAAAAACCTTTAGGCCTGCTTGGAGAAAGTTTATTATTTGTAGTTTTGATCACTTTAGGCCAAAGTTTAATCAATATGTGACCAAAAAGTCACTGAATGCAAATTCACCCGAGCAGCATCAGCTGTCAGATATGACCTTTTTTGTTTCAAGTTTTTGCAGATAAAATTCACTAGTATTTGACATTTATATACATTTTTAAAAGGTATAGTAATAACTAAATTTGTTTGTATTCTTAAGCTCCTCTTCTCTTTAGCTTACACTTCTAACCCCAGTCATACAAGTTATAATCTGTATTAAGGATGCACAGTATTGTCGGCATGGTATTGATATCAGCCGATATTAGCGATAAAGTTAAATATCAGAAATCGGACATTCCATCAAAAAAAAAAAAAACACAGATATAAAAGGTTTCTGCTTTAAGTAAATTTTTAATTTAAGAAACTGTCAAGTATATCTATTAAAGTACTAAAACTTATTAACTTTTCACTTGTCACTTGTGAACAGGTTGAGTTTAGATTTGTGGAAATGTACACATTTGCACTGTTCGAGTGTTGTCAATATGTTAAATAGAGTAAATGTTGTGAATAAATTTGACATTAAATGTAATCCAAGTTGAAGTGTTACATTATTTTCAGCCCTTTTTGGCATTTGCATTTGGTAGCAGGTCAAATTGACAAAGAACATGCAGAATAATGTAGTGTTTTAATTCCACAGCAGAGAAAGCTGTCTACTGTAGTCTCTGTAAGTAGATCTAGGAAACATAATATTGGTGTTGGTTTCAGTTATCGGTCAAACAAGTTTTAACATATCAGGTATTGGCCAAAAATCCAATGTCATGCATCCCTAATCTATACTCAGAGCTCTGAGTGAAAGGTAACTAATGCTGCCTCTTTGATTCACAGCGCAAACCGAGAAAAGGTGCTGCTGAGGATTCAGGTCAGATGAACGAGACAGTGGAAGAGATGGACGTCGTCGCCGTCTTCCGTCCTAAATACAAAGACAGGCCGCAGATCGCCAGAGTCATCCAGAAGACCAGAGGTGGCTACAGTATACACTGGATGACAGGATCGTACTCTGGATCGTGGTCTACGGCAAAGAAAAGGGACGGTCGCAAAAAGGTGCCTTGGGTCGACACGATCAAGGAGTCGGACATCATTTGCAAGAAAATCTCCTTGACGAGCGGACAGAAGCTGACAAACAAAGTGGCACAGACGTTACGGGCGCTGTACGCCGCCAAGGATAAGAGTTAACTCCTCTAAAACACAGCCTGAATCTTTGGATCTTCTATACAGAGAAAGAAAGGAAGCCTGTTCAGATTTTAAAGTTCTGGTGGAGTGAAGCGCATCGCGAGCAGTTCACTTTGTGACATGTTTCAATTTAAACACAGGCAAAACAGAGAAGGAAATGTTTGTGAAAACATTGTGTGGGAGTTCCTTCGCTGTTGTGCAGCCACTTGGATGTTTGGTTTTTACTCCCACTGTATCATAGTTTAACGCAGAAACATGTTTATATCTGAATATAATTCTGTAAAAAAAAAAAATTAAAGTGAATGTTGGAAACTAGTGTATTGATGATGTTCTTAATAAAGTGTTTTTGGAAATAAAAGTACAGCCAGACAAATTTATTTACTTGACCTAAACTCTCAAAGACATTTAGATGTTCGCCCACCTGTGTTAGACTATCTTTGATATAATTTATGTTGGAAGCCGTGCAGTAAATGTGCCTGGAGTGATCTGAATAGAGGATAGGATGTTCTGCAACACAGGGATCCGTAATGCTACCCCTGCGGCACTTCTAGTGGAACAAATACTGCAATAAATTTTTTTTTACATCTTTATTACTTGGTTGAGCTTCTTTTCTCTTACATCAGATCGTGTTGTGCAACTGGTGGTTTTTCTTTTAGACCTGACGCTGCACAGTTTGCTATCATGGTAGATACAGAAAATGGGTGAAAAGCTGTTAAAATCTATTGGAAAAACTTTAAAGGGCTTTCAGAAAGTTTTGAAAACTAACCCAAGACCACTTTAAAGCAGAAGTTGTGCAGGGAAACAACTAAAACATGCAGGACAGAGGAAGGCCCTCCAGGATTGGGCACTGCTGCTTTAAAAGATCTTGAAAGCAAAATATAAATATTAAAAGCAAGTTTTAAAACTTTTGCACTGTCCTGTACAAAAGTAAAGTTGTGCAATTAAGACTTCTCTGCTGACAAAATAAGATACAGATTAATTCCTGACTTGATATTACTGGTAGATGCAACATGTTGAGATCAAAATAATTACTTGAACTAGTTTTCCAGTTACAACACATGTCCAAAAAGTGAACACATCTATATGGATAAACTTCCAAGTATTATTGAGGAGTAAAAATACGTTTCAGTATTTCTTCTATGAGTTCTGTAGCCAGTATGGAATGAGTAAAAAAACAGACTAAATGAGTGGCTCATTGAAAGATAACATTCTTTTTAATTTTTTTTAAATATAGTAATTGGCAGTTAATTAAACAGCCACCGTCAGTGTATCTCTCCAGTCCCAAGCCGGGTAAAAGATGGTTGTGTTAAGAAGGGCGTCTGACGTAAACTCTTTTGCCAAAATCAATATGAGAGTTCATCTAAGCGATGTATACCAGATCAGTCGAGGTCCGAGTTAATGACCGCCACAGGTGCTGGTGACAAACGGTGCCAGCAGATATTACGCTACTGTTAGTCGAATACCACGAGGAGGGAAACATGTCAGGATAAAAGAAGTGGAAAGTCAAGAATGTAGGACAGAGGGTTGCAACTATGTGGGGACAATGACAGGCAAAGGTTGAGAGCTGGATGACATGATGCAGAGAAGGAAGGTAGAGCTGACATGATGCAGAGAAGGAAGGTAGATGTTTTGTGTCCAAGAGACCAAGTGGAAGGGCAACAAGGCTCACAGCATTGGAGTAGGATTTCAATTGTTTTACCATGTGAATAGAAAGAGAAATGGAAGTAGGGGTGGGTGGTCCTGAAAGAGGAGTTAGCAAAGAAGTTTGCAGGTATGAATGAAACAATATTGTTAGAATGTTTTAGAAAATAAGCTTTGCTCTATCCTTTTTTTAAAATGAGCACCCTGCAAGACTGGGGATATATTTCTGTATCAGTAAATATGAAAATCGTGTCAGATAAACATTAAAAGGTCATGAACATGTCTCGATAAAACTGATTTTTAAACTGAGCCAACTGCAACAATGAGGTGTAGTCCTTTTTATTATCATACAATGGAAAAGCAACCATCAGTAATCGCCAAATATACTTCCATTCACATAGTGTAGCTCTTTAATTCTAGGTGATTAATGCTTATATTCTTAGAAAACAAAACTTTAGACATCTGTACACTCCGTCCAGAAACGATGCCCCTCCCTGCAACCAATCGATGACAAGAACACAGGAACCAAATTTTAGTGCAGCGTTGAAACCGGTTCACACGCAGAAGAAAACATGTCGCATGGATACATACGGTACTTTAGTTTAGGGATTCATCTAAGACAAGAAAACCAACATGTGTGCATTGCAGGAACTACAAAGAAGGCAGGCGATTATGGTAATATTGACAATGTCACTTCTTTTTATGTTCAACAGACAAAAGCTAAAGAAATAATTCCAAAGAAGCACAAAAAATATTTTTGTGGTAGGAAATTGAAGGTATCGACACCAAGACAACCCTCAACATGGAAGATTTTAGTGAAAATGATGGTGTGCAGTGTTTTCTTGGAAAACTGGAAGGCAAACAGTGAGGAGGACTTATTCAGGATCAGGGAAGTACAAAAAAATAAATCAAGTCATCAGGGAAGAAATGTTCAGCTCATACCTGTCCCTGCCTTATTTCACCTGCAACACAACCACTTTTAACATTGTTAGCCTTCAAATATCACCAAGAACATGTTTCACAATCAAATGTTTTAAATAAATATAGCTCCATTGATATAATTTCTTAAAATAAAAAAAAAAAAAAAAAACATTAAGAGGAAACTCTTACACAAAAACCCCTCCCCGACCAGCGCATAGACAATAAACCTGTAAAAACAAACAAAATTTAACAGATGACGTTAAAAAAAAAACAGTAAATTTAGACCGACTGAAGGGATTTGAACCAGTTCACAGGAGTGCTGAGCTACAGAAGGTACTTTGGTAACAACAATGCTTACTGCGTGTGTGATCATCGGCAAAGTTTGTCACTAGAACATGAAAGTCGTTTCTCCTGCCATCAGTGCTTCGTTTAAAGTAGCATCCAGACCAGATTCTTAATACAAACAGGAAAGTTGTGATACTTAAATATGCAACAAATGTAGCTTTGTGTAGAATTAAACTCAAGCCTAATCAAATTCAAAATATATCAAAGAAATTGTTTTGTACAAAATTTAGCCTTTATTTGGCAGCCAACAGTGAAAACATTTTAAACCACCAGTTTCTGATTAAATAAAAGGACATTTAAAAATGGGTAAAACTCCCCTTAAGGAGCGAAGTTGTATGTTAACCTTGACCCATAAGCCATTTTAATGTCCTTCAGCACGTATCGGCAGTCGAAACACACACAGCCACAGGCGTTCACGCAGACACTCTCAATACTGGTAGTGCGATCCGATCAGTGAGATCCCATGTGTGGAGAACACAAGACAGGGAGGCGGCTAAGGTGTTGATGACCATGAACACAGCAAGGTCAGAGGGAGCAATACAGTGAAAAGGTCCGTGTCCCGTTTGTACCATCTGAGTGGCAGGTACTGTAGCCCCGAGGTCCCTCGTTAGCAGATACCCAGCGGCAAGGCAGAGGAACGAAAAAGTGGATGACGAGAGCAGTCTGTTGGACTGTGGTCCAGAGAAGTTTGTCAGGTTTGTCACCGAGACAACTTCTTCCCAAATAACAAAAACCATAGCAGCAGGTTGAGCTCGAGGTCCTCCCTCCTCGAGGAAAACTAAACCAAAAAAAAAAAAAAACACACTTCCCGCCATCCACATGAGAAGCAAGCTATGGAGAAATACGAGTCCTGGGAAGTGGCAGATGTCTTTGCTTTAATCTCCTTCCCCTCCTCCATGTTCTAACCCCCTGTCAGTCAATCAACATTGTCCTGTGTCATTAGTCTTTTATCAGCACCTTTCCCCTTTTTATCCTGTTTCACCCCTCACAAATTAACCCTTTTCTACCCATTTACCCCCTCCTCCTCCTCCTCCTCTCCCAGTCGAAGATGAGGGCTGATGATCATCGTTCGGGCTCCGACTCCAGGGCCAGGACCCGTTTACGCTCGCGGCACTGCTTCTTGTGGGCGGGCCAGTCCCTCTGCTGGCACTGTGAGCCACAGTAACGTGCCACCTGGCAGCGACCGCAGATGTTGAACTCACGCAGCTGTAGAAATAACAGATTAGAGGTTTGCGTATTCAAAAATTGGGGCTTTTGGATGGCTATGGAAGATGCGTTTTCTGTTACATACCCTCCTCTCGATGAGCGAACAGGGGGGGTAATGACACTCGTAGTAGGTGCAGGAGCACTCCTCCTCCTCCACCAGCTCGCCGTTAGCATTGTAGTAGCGTGTGCGGCTTAGCTCCAGATACTGCTCCTCTACCGGGTCGGCTGGGACCTGCTGGATGGCGAGCCAGTACAGAGACTGCTCTCTGGGGACAAAATAAATAAGAGGAAATGTTCAACATCTCTTAGAAACAATATGCTAGTTCTTATCAGAACACGTAAACAGTCTTACCTCTGCTTGCTGGAAATCTCCTCTGGCTTGGGGCTCCAGCCCACCGGCACCAGTCGAAGGTTGTCTAGCCGGTTGTCGACTGTCACAGAGTTGATGTGAATAACTTGAAAACTAGGAGCAATGCCGCCTCTGTGCTTCTCCCTGTGTCAAGACAAAAGAAGCTAATGTTACAGAAATGATCGAGATTTCCTGAGGATTCCAAGCTCATATGAAATTATTTAAACACGCTGCCAAATCTGTGCCGCAAGGTCAACATATTTCTCGAGACGGAACAGATGCAGAGAACAAAGTTGGCTTTACATTCTTTAAAGTGGCCTAAATATCATTCAAATTTAAAATGGCAGGTGTAACAAGCATTTCAATCGTTTTTTCCCCCTTTTCTACTTTAATGACTTTAAAAATTGTATTAAAGGCCAGATTCCCTTTGCTTTTGTTTTTTCCACAAGTTCTCAATTTGTCCTGCCAACTTTGATTGACCCTGTGACATTTTTCCACTAAAGAAGAAAATGTAAACAAAAAAAATTCCCATAACCATCTGAGGGTACCCAGAGAAAAGGAGTTTATCATGTAGTCGCCTGAAAGTAATTACTGACCAGAGCAGCTCGTGCAGCGGTCGTCCTGCCCAGCGCCCTTTGCCGATGTCAAAAGCATAAGCAAAGATCTTAGCTCCATTACCGTCGGCATCTACCTCCATGCGTGCCTGAAAAATTTAATAATGAAGCAGTTTCAACTCTTGGCTCTTGCTGTGCAAACCATTAGCGTTGTAGTACAAAAAGCAGTACTGAAAATAACAAATTACCTCAAAGGCGTAGTTTTCCACAAGTGGTATGTCCTGCTCATCAATCAGAGTGTACTTGGTCTGAAATGAAAAAAATAAAGAAATACTCAAGTTTCGAGCTGTATTTGAACCTTTTCAGAACTTGCTCTGAAGGAAAACTATTTTTTTAAACCAGTGTTAAAATAAAAAAAATAAAATAAAAAAATTGCATTAAAGTAATTACCAAGAGCTGTCTGAGCAATAAATAAAAAAATCTATAGATAAATCAATCACGATAATTTAACCTGCAACTTCACCATCTTAAATCAGCGATACATTTTTTTGTTTGTTTTACAAAATAAAAGGCATTCACGCACTGGTAATTCCATATCACCGACTGTTTCGTGCCAGTTTTTAACCAAGATATGGCTGTTTTGGTCAAAACTTGAAATATACAGTGCCCTTAATGGTAATCTCATGCAACACTGCAAGAAGTGTGTTGAGAGTGACTCTCAACTACTACCACAACAAACTTTAGCTCAACATCTGTACAATTGATTTATTGCCTTTTTTGTGTCTGCTAATGTTGATCAGCTGTGGTGGCCATCTTGGATTGTATTAACTCCAAATGTTAATCAGTTGTAGATGAACATCACTGATTACTTTCAGCATCATGTGAGCTTAAAACTATGTGTTTTGGAGGCCACAGCATTAAAGTGGCACTCGGTTCAAAGTGAGTTCAAACTCCTGTTCTGGTTTGAGTGGGTCAAATCCTGCACTGGTCACATTTGTTCACATGATCCTGACTTGCTTTAACCAGATCAAAGCTACCTGACCATTACACGTGGCAAAACACCAAGGTACCACGTGCGTGACGCCAATCACGTGGATATGACAACACGAAAAAAGTCTAGGACACTTTGCATTCACTGACAGGTTAAGTCTGAGCATTGCAGGGATGAAATCGTGCATATTTGCTGTTTCTGTCGTCACCCAGCAGGTGGTGGTGGGGGGGATGCACGACTGGTCACAGCAGTTTAGCCCGGCTGTCTCGTGACACCAGACCATTTCTACAACACAGCTGTGTAATATCACGTCTGCGTTAAGTACGTTTTCTAAACGAGGGGGGGAAGAGATGGCATTTTGACACGTTTCACTGAAGTTTATGAAACGTGGTGATGATTTCGTCATTAGCTGTCACTGACTCTAATCCAGACACCGCGGCTAACTCGCTAACAGCACCGCCGCTGAATTAAAAGCTTCCGCTTGTCGTAAAAGCGCTGAAACACAATTAGCACACGAGCAAAAGCGGCATCGAGAACGAGAATGCGTAAAAATACCATTACAACTGACGTTTGTGTCGGTTTATCCGTTAACGTTATCCAGCTAGCGTGCATGCTATGTTAGCTAGGAGAGTTGAGAAGAGCAGTCTGGCTCGACACGGCCGGCTTTTCTAATCCGCTCAAACCGTCAAGCTAACCCGCTTCCCGCACCCTCAGCGGATCCTTTATCAAAACAGCAGCGGACCAGCGTCGATAAATAACCGCCAAACGTGCTTTGTCGAGCGCTTGCTGCGGTCCCCGCGGGCCCACCCCCGGCCGCACATGGCAGCCCTTGGATCCAGCTCACCTTCCCGGCCACACGGCCGAGCCGTACAATCCCGAGCTTAAAATCCGACATCAGGAGAACGGGTGATGGTGACACCGAGAGGCGTGAGACACGACCTAGATGTATGAGAGGAATCGCCGGGGGCAGCCCCTCTCAGCCCCGCTGCGATGCTACTTCTGGGTCAAGCGACCAGTATCTGCCCTACGTCCGGGTCTCCGGCCGCAGCCCAGCCTCGGCAACACACCGCAGCCTGGAGCACGAAAGCCGAGAAAGCTACAGTGGAGGAGGCGGGGCTATGGGATGAAAGCCTTTTTTAAGTGACCAATCACATCGTGTTTTAGTTCGACGTGATGAATCTTATTGTCCAATGGAATACGAGATTTTTTAAAGACCTCCTATTTTACCCATTTCGTCAAGACTCGACTCGTGATCGCTTCCAACCATTTTCGCGCGAAATGTTTGACGACTCCAGGATTGGGAGGGGTCAGTAAATTAGGCATGAAAAAAGAAACTGAGCAGCATTTACAGTAGTTAAAACAAATCAAATACACACCACGTCAAATACCATTTTTTCTATTTAACTGTTAACAGCTGTAGTTGCTTTTTTAATAAGGCAGGGAAAGTGGTTTCCTACAAGTTGCTACTAAACACATGGTTATGTGTGGGGTCCAGGTAATGTCATGGCAATCAAAAATGAATCTTATTATTAGGAGGAAAGAACATATAATTAATTTATTAACCTTTATTTAACCAGGCAAATCCCATTGAGATCACAGATCTCAATTGCAAGGGAGGCCTGGGCCTGAAGGCAGACTAACATGCATGTTTTTGATCTGTGGGAGGAAACTGGAGTGGAGTACCAGGAGAAAACCCACGCAAGTGAGAAGAACATGCAAACTCCACACAGAAAGACACCAAGTCAAACCGGGGATTGATCCCACGACCTTTTTGCTGTGAGGCAACAGTGCTAACCACTGAGCCGTCGTGATGCCAATAGAAAGTTTGAAAAATACAAAAAAGTAATGGAGGAGTTAAAATAGAATTCACATAAAATCTGTGACTTCAATTTTTTTAGAATGGCATAAGAAACCTTTGATAGTACAAGTGTGGTTCAAACCCTCACACTCCTCATGTGAACCAGAGTTCAAACCATGTAGACTGGGCAGGATATTTAAACATCTATGCAATAGTAAGACATTTATTTATTTATAATAATAATAAATAAAGTGCTATGTGTTGTCATCATTGTATGTCCCCATACAAAGATGAAATTGGCTCTCTGCATTTAACCCATCGCACCTGGGATGCACAAAGGTGGCACGGTGGGCAGCTATGTAGGTGCCCGGGGAGCAATTCGGGATTGGGTGTCCTGCTTAGAGACACCACAAGATGTGCAATGGACCTTAGGGTCCTGGCTTGGCTGCCCTGCCCCTACACCTTCTCGGCCCGACGGCCCCATATATGTGTTGGGAGATGTTCCAAATATCGGCTGTATCAGTTTTGATGATTATATCAGTTGTAGATGTATAGTGACTACTTACATAGAATGTAAAATCTGTCCACTGGTTTATGAGATGTTTTGCTAACATGACAAACAGGCCTTTCATGTGATGTACATTTATTACTAAACTCTTCATTCTGCTTGAGTTTAAATGAAAGTATCTTTGTTCATTTCCTGTAAACACCTCTTTGCCTTAGGTTTGCTGGTTTTAACAGTAACACTACAGTTTTTTTGTATGTTGTATAACAATAGTCAACCTGTGTGTCTCTGATGTTCTTCTCATTTCAAAGTGAGATTTGTGGAAGCCCACCTTGTCTGAGCTGGAAGGCATTTCTCTATCCGTCACTCTCCTATCCCGTTACAGACAGGAACGAGTGGGAGGTGTGCTGGTTCATCTGTAGGTTTGAATTTCCTGAAATTTTCCCATACTCACCTGAAAAAAAAAGACAAAAAGTCCTTTAGTTATGGTCCAGTCTGATGTAGTCAAAGAGATACTTTAGGAATGAGCTAGACTATTTTTTTAACATTTGGCTCTCTTTAAAGATATGCTAAGCTGGTATTTTCTAGAAACTGGGTGTTACTCACTATTTCCAAATTAGTTGTCTCTGAGGAGTGGCTATAGGTTATCACTGATCCTTGGGCATTACATGATGAAACCAAGTATTTATCACACCCATTCACCCTGTATGGAAAAAATATTGTGTTGGTATTGATATATCTCTTGTGTACAACTTTACAGATTAAAACACAAAAATGTATAAAATCTGACATTTCACACGATATGGGACACAATTCTATATTATTATCATATTACTAACTTTAATATTGTTCAAACTATTCTGATTTTTTTTAACAGTAATATGTTAAATTTGATATAAATTATTTTAAACTAATCAAGTTAAAGTGTTCCTACAGGTGATTGTGTCAGAAATATTCTTACTGTGTGGCAATTACATAACAATAAAATGAAATTTTGAGAGATCACAACAAAAAAAAAAGACCTAAAGATTACTGCCAGGATTTTCTGGTTCTAAAAATGTTTACAGGTATTTCTTATCTTGGAGAGGTTTTCAAGACAGTTTGAAATTTGATTACCATCTTTTACATATTTAAATACATGCATACAATGAAACGTGTACATAGATGATGAACACAATGTGCAAAAGTTTTCCTTGTATGTTTCTTCTAATAAATCATATTTTGTTATATTTTTAAGTGTACTTGTCCTTTGAAGGTCTTTCAAAGACTTTCTCTGGCCTTTGGCAGTTTTTCTCTTGTTTTCTGTTCTGTCCTGTTACCAGTGGATGACAAATCATCAAAACAAATAGATCTAGTTGTTAAAGCTTAAATATTACCTCAATTACAGTCCCAAATTCCAAATGAGTTGAAAAGGAGGTGCCATGGATGCATTCCCATCTACTTGGAGGCAGTGTTCAAGTGCCTGGCAGCCAAGATTTCGGAGGGGTGGGAAACGTGGCTCATGACAGCGGGAAGACCGGGATCGTCCCCCAGCACTTGCAGTTTTGTCAGCGATGACAAAGGGCTCGGCAGCTGCTGGGAGGAATGGCTCAGGGAGGAGTTCTGCCTGGCATTCAGGTGGTCCTGCTGCCCAAGAGGACCGAGGGGTCTGCTTGGTCTGGGTGGATGGATTGGCATCTGCAGCCAGATTCTTCAGATCCGCTGTGGGACGGACTGCTACAAGAGATCCTTCCTGCTACAAGAGATCCTTCCTGCCCACAGCCATCAGCATCTAGAACAACTCTAATGAAACCAGGATGATGAGGTACAACAACAATTAGTTTCCTTTTGGGATTAATAAAGTATTTTGAATTTAATTAAAGCTCTTATGTTGTCATTATAACCTTGTTTAAGAGTGTTATCATAAAAGTTTTTCATACTTAAATTTTATACTTTTATACTGGCAATATTTGGGGTCACAAGCCCCTGGTACTATTAGTTTGTGGGTTGATTGATATAGTTAATAAATACCATTGTGAATCCCACAATGATATTGCTGTTTTAAATCATAAAACATATTTTAAATATTTATTTACAATGAGATAAGCATATATCATTGGAAAAGCTTTTAACTTCACTCAACAATCGCTTCATGGTCTGGATTTTGGTTTGGTTTGCTTCAGATTTTTTTATTTTTAAAGTCAATAAAATGATTCACTAAATGACTTTACATTGTACAATTAGCTTTGCTCTGTGTAATCCTGAGACATCAATACAAAGTGTATCAATACACAATACAATTTAGTATGTTAAAACATAAAACGCTTATACTAAACTATATCAAATGGTGCCTTTTGAAAACATTTATTCCAGTAGTTTTCCAGATATACTGATATGCAATTCTGAAATGTGGGTACACACTTAACATAAACAAAGCCATCAGCTAGGTTAGGGATTGTATTATGAAAGATACAACACACTTCGTTTGTCAAGAGACATATCGAGCTCAGAGCAACAACTTTTTTTTTTTTTTTTTTTTTTTTTACCAAACCAGCTACTGTACCTATATTGGTACATTTAAAGTATTAATGCAAGGAAAGCCTCTTAAAGGAATTGTGGGAAAAGGAACTTAACTATAATATCACTGTCGATGAATAAAGGTGCTTGGAGACATGTAAAAACCTTAAGTGTCCATTGGGCCCACATCTCACCTTATCAAAACAAAATTTCAAACCTACTTCATCTCCACAGTGCTTGAAATGTAAGCTTGAGATGGTCACTCTCTCTCACGCTGCTTTTGGCCTTGTATTAAAGTGAAACAATCCTGGAAGATTAATGGTAGAGAAATGAACACATTTCTGTCTGTTTATTCAAATAATACTCCTTTGAATTTGCTACTTGGAATAACAGATCTTCTTTTCAATGACACATATAAAAGACAGCTCTACAGAATACTATTTTTCCTATATGTTAGAAAATGCTACCTGTATTTAAAAAAGGCCCCCAAAGTAAGGTGTAGCCCAAGGGCCCCAGCCCTCCTAAATCCTGCTCTGTATGTCTTCACCAATGGCAGTCCCCACAGAAAGTTTTTTTAAAGCTTTATTTAGAACTTTGCTTCTATAAGGACATATACAGATACAGATATTCTTTATTGTCGTTCGCACACATGTAGTACATGTGGTGGAGCAAAATTATGTACACAGGGTCTCAGTTACATCCAACAATAAAATGTAAAAGAAAAACAGTAATAAGATCTAAGATATGAACCAAGAAAAACATCAACTAAATAACCCAAAATTTTTCAGTCAGGTCATCTGGACAGTTTCTTTTTTTGTGCTGAAATGTTTCGCCTTCGATCCGGAAGGCTTCATCAGTCAAGGAAACACACAACAAAACTGATTCTTCCACCAACAGCTTACTCCAAAGTGGAACAAACCAGTTATGTTGGTGCTAAGATGGTCTCTTTGGCACGCCCCTTCCTCCATTGCCGGCCCTCTTTCTTGTTGACAGTTGTGTCAAACTGGTTGAAAACAACAAAGTCCATGCTCAATAATCCAGGTATACAATCCAACATTTTTCAGTGTACTGTATACCTGGATTATTGAGCATGGACTTTGTTATCAACTAAATAAACACAAAGCACTTGTAGCATAAAAACAATACGCCGAACAGCAGCACGAACACGAGTCTGTGTGAGCAGATGAGCACGCATGAACACATCAACATGTAACAGATCAGCAGCAACATGATGTGATTTTTCACAGTGATTATTCTGGTTAGAGATTCATGAGTCTAACAGCCTCAGGGTAGAAGCTGTTCCTAAGTCTACTGGTTCTACACTTAATGCTCCTTATCAATTATTATTATTATTATTACTAGTAGTAGTAGTATATCAAGGGATAAGAAAAAAGAAAGTAAATAATAATAATAAATAATAAAATAAGATAAAATACAGGAATAAATGTGAGTTACACAGTTAAATTGTATTCATTTAAGATATTTTTTTGTTTTTATAGCCTTTTAGTTATTTGAGTCAGAGACTGAGTCAAGCTATTTTTACATACATCAGAGGTTTCTTATGCATTATTTTACTTTATGGATATGCAACTTAGCAAGAAATACGATAAGAAATATGTGAGAGGTGCTTTCGTCTTGAAATCTAGGAAACCAAACAGAACATGTTCTACATAGAGAAAGATATCTGGTTGGATATTATCCTCAATAATGTCCTCCCAAAAGTTTTGTGAGTATTTCCAAAAAAGATGAATAGATGTCTCTGGATAAAGTTTACAGATATCAATGTCAGCTTTGTTTTTCTGAAGAAAATGCTTGGTTTGATACAATTTATGAATTAATTTAAAATGAACTTATAGTGAGGGGAAAAACAATGTGCGGGAGAGACCAGACTTTTACCAAATTAAGATTGTGCACAGTCCCCACAGAGTTTCTCCAGCTCTGACCTGTCGCGTGTCACTTCCGTGTTCCGCTCACCTGTTACACCTGCGTTACAGCGCAGTCCTCAGCTCCTGCACCTGCTGCCATGATGGCCGAGGAGGAGTTCACGACGTGCGACCTGACCACCTGCTCCTCCACGACGGAGGAGACCTTCAACACCGTCAACATTCAGGAAATCGAGCCTATTTTCTCCGTGTTAACCGGCGGGATGAGGGCGGCGGGGGACACGGTGTCTCCGGGCACCTGCGGAGGAGGAGGAAGCGGCTGCACCTCACCCACCGCCGCCACCTCCGATACCGAGTCCGGGATCTTCTCTGTGGAGAGCGAGGTCTGCGTGGAGCACGAGTCGGAGCTGGACTGGTTCTGTGGGACCGAGCAGAAGCTCATCTGTTCCCGCTGCGCCACCGTGGGGCCCTGCCGCGCGCACGCCGTGACCCCTCTGGCCAGCAGGGTCACCTCAGTCAGGGTACACCTGGTTCTAAACTATTTACCTGAGAAAACCCGGCCTTTTATAGGCTACAGTGATCCTTTTAAATAAATATAAGCTCTATTCCTGCTTACTTTCATTTCTTTCTCGTTCAGTTTATACACTTCAAAGGTGATTTTAAATTCATTTGAGAATTTCCTATTTTCTGTGTGTATTCATATAATCACCCAGCTTTCTTTTAAATGTGTGACTATTACATCGTTTTCAAGTTAATAGCTCATTTTCGGGGTGTGCCACTGTTTCCCTGCTGATGCTGATGCATGCTGTTTCAGAGGACAGGATTTTCTTGTTATCAAACGAGCTGAGGATGTTCTTGTGGTGTGCTTTTCCAGATTCCTCTGACTCAGACAGTGAGCGTGTTGTCCTTTCCTTTGCAGAACCAGCTGGTGGACGTGTGCGAGAAAATGCAGCTGCAGGCTCTGAGGATCGACAAGTTTATCGAGCAGACCCTGGAAGCCAAAAAGCAAAAGCTTCAGGTGGGACACGCCGGCACACATATAGTGAACCCAGCTCAGAGCTAAAGGAGTGTTGGCGTCAGATTCCAAAATGTTCGTAGTGCTTGGATTTGTTAGGCCTAAACAAAAATGTCTAAATTGCTAGGATTTAAATAAAATATGGTGCATGACTTCACGGGCAGTGGCCGAAGGCAGGGTCCTTGGCCTTCTGACCAAAGCTGGCTCTTGAGACATGGAACTCTCTCTGGCATAGGAGCCTGAGCTTGTGTGTGACGTTAAGAGGTACTGACTAGATATAGTTGGGCTCACCTCGATGGGTTCAGGAACAGCATCCTGCGACACTGAAAAGACACGTTACTGCCCCACAACATCCAGAGCCTTCAGCATCTCAGAGCGAATCCCATCCGCTCCTGATCCTCTGCCACAGTAATGGACTCCCTTTCCCTGAATCCTCAGACCCTGCCTCCTCAGAGGTGGACATGCTAGCCAGATTAAGAATATCCTCAAAATTTTTCTTCTATTGTCCAAAAATATCCCAAGTCCGGGTCAGAAGTCCACCACCCAAACCAAATACAGCATGCTTTTTTTTTCAGGGTCACCAAACGGTTCCGAAAGTCCTTCACCGTTATCCTAAATATCGTTTTACCCTACACTTTTCTTAAAGCTATAGCTTTTGAGCATCAAAACAACCATCAAATTGTTCAGCATCATTTCAAGACTGCTGTGTTGTAAAAAATTAAATAAAATAAACCATTTAAAATATCTAACCTTGACGGAAAATATAAAAATAATATATATTGTAATAACTAGAGAAAGTGCATTTCCTGTGAAAATGCAGTGTGAATGCTTAATGCTGAGAACAGCTGAAATTAGCTAAAAAAACAAAAACATTCTGAAATGTAGCTGAAATGGAAGAACAAATCTAAATTAGCAGAAGAAAGCAGAAATAACGCATTTTTGCAGACTTAGTTTTAAATAAGGAGCTGAACTTAGGAAATGAGCTAAGAAAAATCTGAAATGAGCAAAAAATTGCTGAAAAGTAGCTGAAAAGGCAAAAAGAAGCTTAAATTATCAGACAGAAGTGGAAAGAACTGAAAGGAGCTACAAAGTGTGGAACTAGCTGAAAAGGCTAACATCAGCCAAAAGAGCAGAAAAAGCTGAAACTTGCAGAAAAAAAGCTGAAAGGAGCATAACAAGTTGAAATAGGTGTAAAGAAGTTACTTAGTCTGAAAGTAGAAATTTACATGAAAAAACTTGACTTTATTGGAAAACAGCTGAAATTGCTATACCCCCCCCCCCCCAAAAAAAAAAAAAAACAAATGAAAAAGTAGAACAAGTTTAAAATACCAGAAGAAAGCAGAAACATGTTTGCCCAATTAGGCTGAAAGAAGCAGAAATTAGCTCAAAGAAGTTCAAATTATTTGAAAAAAGCTGTAATAAGCAAAAACCAGCGGAAAAGTAGCTAAAAAGCAGCAAGAAGCTTAAATTATCAAAAGGAAATGGAGAGAGCACGTTTTTGCTGAATTATGCGGAAAAAAATTGAAATGAGTGCAACAAAAGTGGAATTAGCCCAAAATTAGCTAAAATTAGCATAAAAACAGCTAAATAGTAGCTGAAATATCAGAGAAAGCTTGAACTTGCATAAATAAGCTGAAAAGAGCCTAATAAGCTGAAATTAGCAGAAATAAGTTAGAAGAAGCTCAAAAATGTTGTAGGTAGCCAAAATAATGTGAAAGAAGTCCAAAACAGCTGAATAAACAGCAGAAATTAGCTGAAAAAAGTTTAAGTTTGCACAAGGAAGCCAAAAGAAGCTGAAGCAGAACAAAATAAGAAAGGAGCCGTAAAAGGTTGTAAACAGATCTGAAAATTTGAAGGTTGTAAAATGAGCTCTATTAATGTCCTAAGAGAAAAAAATTACAGAAAAGGCTAAATACTTCAAAAAGCTAAAGTTACTCCAATACCAAAAAACCATAGCACCCTCCTCCTGAATGAGCTGAACGTTTTGATAAATGATTTGTTGAAATAGCACAAAAGTTGTTGAACGAGAAAGATGCTGAAAAACGTACGGAAGAAAAATGGATCACAATAGTTTATTAGTTTAGTTTGCTTCATAAGCATTCACACTATTAATGTTACGTATGCCTGTAAAAATTATATGTCGAACTTATCATGTACCTTGCATCAAACCAGTGTTGCAGTAACGCTCTGCACTTTTATATACAGTATTAACATATCTGTGATGAGAGCGAGTCGCTTTATAACTTAAGTTTAGGAGGAAAACATGTTCGCTTCAATTTAATGATGCCTGAATTCCTGAACAAGAACTCAAGCATCCATAGATGGGTTTTTTTTTTGCAACAGCATGAAAAAGTGGAGAACCTTCTTGTTACCAGAAGTCAGGAGTGTTAAGGAGTTCTGCATGAGTTCATGTGTTCTCGCTGTTTTCTTTGACTAAACCCAAATTACTTAAGAGTGCTTCGTTTTCATTTAGAGGAGGAACTTCCTTACAGTCCAGTCCTTTTGCTTTTTATCAGTGTTGAAATCAGTTAGAATCAGTGAATCAGTTAGAATCAGTAAATCAGTTAGAATCAGTAAATCAGTTAGAATCAGTAAATCAGTTAGAATCAGTGTCCATAGTCTCATGAAACTTGGTGGAGTTTGAACATTGGAGAAACCTTTTAAATCTCCTTTTGGATCCCCATCATCTATTTTAAAGCAATAAAAGTGCCTCAAATCAGTGGACTGTGTATCACTTGTAAATGAGACTTTGAGGCTCAATGTGATTTATTTGTGTAAATAAAGCTTGAATGGAAAAATCAGGGTAAATTTATCACCATGAAAAACATAATTTACAGTTATCAAATCTGATTTTTAACAAAATACATTTTTCTTTGAACAACAGAAACAAGTGTACCATCACCGCGCAGCAGAAAGTACTATATTTTTTGCTTTGTAAGTTGCACATTTTTGCATAAAATTGCAAGTCCTGCGACTTATACACCGAAGTGACTTATTTTTGTCCGCCCCCATATTTATAACCCAATTTTTGGATGAGATCTGACGATTTCATTCATTCTGACATGAACAATGTTGAACACTACCATTTTTAGCCACTAGAGGGCAATCACTTAATTTAGCAAGGTAAGTGTCTCATTAATAGGTAAAAGTGGTTATTAATGATACACTTGGCTTGCCATACCAAGCCATCTTGCTCTTGCTCCAGAAATCCTGGAACAAACGTCAAATCTGATGCATTTGACCATTAAAGTGATTTTATTAAGGAAAACTAAACTGAAACCCACCTTTGCCATCATTTCAAGCAAACAAATAATTGTTTTTAAGTGTTAATCTTGTTAAATTCTTGTTTAAGTCCTCCTGTGCACGCTCCCGCGGTGTCCATTTGGTAGTCAATCAATTATTGGCAGAACAACGGCCCACATTTCCGGGTGGTGACGCATAATAGATGCAACTTATTTATGTTTTTTTCCACTTTATTAGACATATTTGCACTGATGCAACTTATATGCCGGAGCAACGTGTACGGCGGAAAGTACGGTAATTAGAATTACAGGAAAGTTACTCAAAACATTTTCACCAAATCACTTGTTTATTAAGATTTAAGTACAAAATAAAGGGAACTACAGGACTAGTAGATGTTACAATGAGAAAGGAGAGTGTAGTTGTTACGGTGAGATCTTGTTGGTGAGATCAGTGTGGACCTTTCTCCTGCGTCTCCTTGCAGGTGGATGCGAGCAAGGCGAGGGACCAGGTTCTGGCTCAGGTCAACGCCGCGCGTGACGCCCTGGAGAAGGAGGAGCAGCGCATCCTGGAGGAGGTGCAGAGGGAGCAGGAGCGGGTGGAGCAGTGCCTCCTCACCCAGAGAGCCCACTGGAGCCAGGCTCTGGCCAGTCTGTCGCAGACGCGCTCCCAGTTGGTGCACACGCTGACGCACACCGCAGACGCACAGCTGGTGGTGAGAAGCTGTGGAGGATGTCAGATTTAGAGCTTCTACTTAAATAACTTGATATTTACTGTATAACTGCCGAGAAATCACTAACTTCCTGTTTTTTTTTTTTTATATTTTTTGCAGATCAGTGTCCAAGAAATCGCGGAAAGGTACATTTCTAACTGTTCAATAGTGTTTTTGTCACTCAGGTCATGCTGGAGGCGTCATGTTTTATACCTGTGTGCGTGTTTGTGTCAGGGTGGAGGACGCCGAGGGGGTCGGGAACCCCTGCGACACAGAGCAGCTCAACCTGAACCCAAACTGTACTGACAGCAAGCTGCTGAGAGGCCTGTGGGCGGCCGCACTGCTGCTCGGCCCCAACGGTTTGTAGATTCCATTTTATTGTACTAAAACTTCAGCAGATTCATTCAGGAGATTATTAGAAACACAGATGGTGACAATTGACAGTTCGCTTTAAAATAAATAGTTGGGGAAGTTTGCAAGTGAACATTTTAAAGAAAAAAGTTCAACTGATTATTAAATGTTCATCAGTTGTTTGCAAATAAAATAAGATTTAATGTAGTAATCAGTAAAGACAAGACTTTGCTGATATTCAGGATCAGAGTAAAATTACTGTTTGAAAGTTTGCTCAAACGTCTGTTTGTGTGGATGTTTATGAAGCGTTCACTCTATTGTGATCCATTTTTCTTCCGTGCGTTTTTCAGCGCGTTTCTCGTCCCGCAGTTTCGAAGCTATTTCAATAAATCATAAAACGTTCAGCTCTTTCAGGACAATCCTGCAATGACTTTTGGTATTGGTGCAACTTTAGCTTTTTGAAATATTTAGCCTTTTCTGCCATCTTTTTTTTCTCATAGAAAATGAATTGAGCTCATCCTTCAGATGTTTAGATCTGTTTACAACTTTTTACTGCTCCTTTCACATTTTGTTCTGGTTCCGCTTCTTTCAGCTTCATTGTACAAATTTAAAAAAAGAATTTCAGCTACTTTCAGCTAATTTCAGCTGTTTTTCCAGCTGTTTTGTGCTCCTTTCAGATTCTTTCTGCTAACTACAACATCTTTGTGCCTCTTCTAACTTAAAAGTTCTTGCTCAACTTGCTTCTTCTAGCTTCTTTCTACTAATTACAGCTTGTTAAGCTCCTTTCAGCTCCTTTCTGCAAATTTCAGCTTTTTCTACTATTTCAGCTACTATATAGCTGTATTTATACTTTCAAAATCTTTTTTTAGCTAATTCTACATTTTTTGCACTTAAAACTTTTTCACCCTAATTCATCAAAAATGTGCTCTCTCCACTTCCTTCTGGTAATTTAAGTTTCTTTCTGCTTTTTTAGCTACTTTTCAGCTGTTTTATTTTTTTGTGGCAATTACAGCTTTTTCAGATAATTTGCGCTTGTTTGTGCTCATTTCTGCTTCTTTCAGCAAACATTTGTTCTTCCTGATTCTGCTAATTTAAGCTTGTTCTACCTTGGCGGCTGTGGCTGAGTGGTTAGAGCAGTCGTCCTCCAATGCAAGAGTTGGGGGTTCGAATCCACCAGCAGTCACATGCTGAAGTGTCCCTGGGCAAGACACTGAACCCCTCATTGCCTCTGATGTGTGTCCCATCAGTGTATGAATGTGATAAAGCACTGATTAGTCTCTTTAGAATGATTTGTTCAATTAGCTTTGTAGAGATCTAGCAGAGTGCTGTATGAACGGGTAAATAAGGCACAGATTGTAAAGTGCTTTGAGTATCTTGAAATAAGATAGAAAGGTTCTATATAAGTACAGTCCATTTACCATTTACTTTTTATTGGCATTTCTTAGCTAAGTTTAGCTGTTTTCAGATTAATTCAAGTTTTACGTGGTAATTCCTGCTACTTTCAGCCAAATTAACTTTGTTCTGCTAATTTTAGCTTATTTTGATCCTTTCAGCTTTTTCTGCTAGTTTGAGCCTTTTCTGCCATTTTAGCTACATTTTAGCTGTTTTGTGCTAAAAATGAGCTTTTCCAGCTAATTCTACATTTTTAAGCTTATTTCAGCTCATTCCACTTCCTTCAGGTAGCTTAAGCTTCTTTCTGACTTTTCAGCTAATTTCAGCGTTTTTTTAGCTAATTTCCTAATTTTTGTGCTAATTTCTGCTTATTTAAACATAATTCAGCAAATATGTGTTTTTTCTGCTTTCTTCTGTTAATTTAGGCTTGTTCTTCCATTTCAGCTAATTTTCAGCTATTTTTAGCTGTTTCTCAGCAACTTCTTCAGCAATAAGCATTCACACTGCATTTTTGCAGGAAATGAAATTTCTCTATTTTTCCTAGTTTTAAACCCATCATAATATTGTTTTGATCATTTTAAATTAAGCTAGAACAATTTTTTTTGCTAAATATCTTCTGAACTTTATTGTTTTCTATCTTTAAAGTTAAAAGGAAAAGGATTAAAAAAAGAGAATCTCATTATTCAAAATCATAATTCTAGAAGAGTAAATAAAACTTGAAATTACTTAGTTTAAATTCTAAGAGACACATTTAGTGGCATTTCTGACAGACACTTTCAAACCTTTAGGTGTCTGGTTGGGTAAATATTTAAACACATTGTGTACATTTTGTGTGTTAATTGTCTTTGCCTGTCACCAGGAACACTGAGCTGTGTATGTTTGGTTATCTGCCTGTTAGCAAAATATTTCATGAACCATTGGGCAGATTTTAATGAAACTATTGACTGCACATTTTAAACTGATTAATGTTTGGAGTCAACCCAGTTCAAGATGGCTGCCACAGCCAACTGACTTCTGACTGAATGACCTAAATTTTGGCGTGGTAGTAGCGGAGAGTCATACACATACTCAGAGTGCTACAGATTTGGCAAAATCTTTGTTTTGATTTTTGCCATGAAATTAGTGATGGAGCTGACTTGAGTTACTTCTTACTGCAGACTGGATTTAAATGGGACACTAATGAGCATTCACAGAAAGGATCAGGTTCTTAAATTCTGGAGGACAGAGGAGTTTAAAGCTTTAGAGAGGAGGTTTTGTGGCTGTCCGCCTGTTTTTCTGTTGTTTGATTTAGTTGCATGTAGGGATTTTAATCGGCATGGTATCAGTATCAGCCGATATTAGCGATAAAGTTAAATATCGGACATCGACCATTCCATCAAAATAACTCACCAATATAAAAGGTGCTGTTTATACACACACACACACACACACACACACACACATACATACATACAT